ACTATTTTATGCCTTTTCCTTGGTACTCACTGGGCCCTTTCAGTTTGGAAATGTATGTCCTTGACTTCTGGAAATGGTACTGAGTTATTTCACTGATGGTTTCTTCCCCCTGATTTTCTCTGTTCTCTATTTCTTAAGCTCTGATATTTGGCTGTTGGGTTTCTCAGATTGGCTTTAATTCTCTTTTCTTTCTGATTTTTCTTTTTATCCTTGTGGGAAATTTATCTTTCTGAAACATTAAAAAAACTTCATCTTCCATCTACCAATTATTTAATATCTGCCCTTGTACTTTTAATCTTCAATAGCTGTATTTTTCTTCTAATAGCACCTATATCTTTATAGCATCCTATTCTTGTTTCATGGGTACAGTATCATCTTTTATGTCCCTAAGGCTATTCATGGCCATTTGTTTTCCTCCATGGTGCTTTTTTGGGGTTTGGTTATTTGTTTAGTTCATTCTCTTTTATGTTGGAGGCTTTCTTCAGATGTTCCATGATCCTTGATTGTCTAAAAAACCAAATGGAAGCCGTGATCCATGAGTAGGGCTTATCTGCTGAGGGCTTCCCTATAGCATTACCTGTTCATTGGGGAACCCCCAATGTTAGAATATTTAGATCATTCCTCCTGGTATGGTCATGTTCCCCAAAGAAGGATCTTTCCAAGTATTACTGAAGGGAGAGGCCTGCCTTCTAGCATTCTGGGAACTGGGAGGGGGAGACGGTTGGGACTCTCAGCTTTAGTACTGGCCCATGCTCTTTACTACGCCTGGGGATAAACTTCCAGTCTTCTCTCAGAGAGGGGGAGGGAGAGGAAGTGGGTATCCAACTGTTTCATAAACAGACTTCCAACCAGTCCTCTTCCTCTTAGCCCCACCTTTACTCCCACCCAGTTGCCTAACATCCCAATTCCTGAGCCTGTTCTGCCATGTAAATAGGTAGCTTCTCAGCTTTTCTAGCTGCAGGTTTAAGATTTAGCTTTCTGGAGTCTGCTACGAGATTTACCACTAGTCTATACGCTCTCCAGCTTCCAAAATTCTGCTGCTGTTTTCTCTTCTGTCCTCTTTGTCCTTAGAGTTTACATTAAAAAAAAAAAAAAAAAAAAGTCATTTGTGAGAGGAAGCAAAGCTATATATGTGTTCTAGCCATCCTTACCAAGAAATCTTTTTTTAAGTTGAGGTATAATTCACATACCACAATATTCAAGCTTTTAAAATTGTACAACTCAGTGGTTTTCCATATATCCATAAAGTTGTGTAACCATCAACACTATCTAATTCCAGAATATTTTCATCACCCCAAAAGGAAACCCTGTACCCGTTAACAATCATCTTCTATACCCCCCTCCTGCCCCCTCCCCACCCAGCCCCTGGCAGCCACTAATCTACCTTCTGTCTCTATGGATTTGCCTATTCTAGACATTTCGCAGAAATAGAATCATACAATATGTAGCCTTTTATGTCTGGTTTATTTCCTTTCGCATAATGTTTTCCAAATTCAAACATTTTGTGGCATGAATCAGTACTTCATTGTTTTTTAAAAACAACAATTCTGTTGAGATTTTAACTCCTCTTTATGGCTAAATAATATTCTATTGTGTGGATATGCCATGTTTTATTCACTCACTCATCAGTTGATGGCTATTTGGGTTGTTTTCACTTTTGGACTACTAGGAATAATGGCGCTATGAATATTGGTGTACAATTTTTTGTGGGGGGGGTATGTTTTCATTTCTCTTGTGTAGAGATCTAGGAGCAGAATTACTGGGTCACATGATAACTCTGTTTAATTTTTTGAGGAATTATCAAATTGTTTTTCAAAGTAGCTGTACCATTTTATTTTATTTTATTTTATTTTTTTAAAGATTTTATTTATTTATTTGACAGAGACAGAGACAGCGAGAGCAGGAACACAAGCAGGGGGAGTGGGAGAGGGAGAAGCAGGCTTCCTGCTGAGCCGGGAGCCCGATGTGGGACTTGATCCCAGGACCCTGGGATCATGACCTGAGCCGAAGGCAGTCGCTTAACCAACTGAGCCACCCAGGCGCCCTCCATTTTATTTTTTTAAAGTAAACTCTGTCCCCAACGTGGTGCTCGAACTCACAACCCTGAGATCAAGAGTCACATGCTCTATGGACTGAGCCAGCCAGGCGCTCCAGCTGCACCATTTTACGTTCCCACCAGCAATAATGACAGTTCCACTTTTTCCACATCTTGACAACACTTGTTATCGTCTGTCTTTTTGTTGGTAGCCGTCAGAGTGGGTGTGAAGTGGCACCTTACGGTGGCTTTGATTTTGCATTTCCCCAATGACTAGTGATGGGGAGCATCTTTTCATGTGCTTATTGACCATTTGCACATCTTTGGAGAAAAATCTACTGAAATCCTTTGCCCAGTTGGAATCAGGTTGTCTTGTGACTATTGAGTTCTAATATCTCTTCATATATTCTGGACATTAGATCCTTATCAGATATATAATATGTAAATATTTTCTCCTATTTTATGGGCTGACTTTTCACTTTCTTAATAGTGACCTTTGAAATACACACACTATTTTTCTTTGTCACTTGTCTTTTAAGAAATGTTTTTCAAAAGTCTTATTTTAAAAATAGCTTTATTGAGATATAATTGACACATAATAAACTTTACGAATTTAAAGGGCACAATTTAAGCTTTGCGCAGTGGCAGTATCGTAGCCAATGAGGTTTATCCGAGGCGTGATTATTGCTAATTGAAAACTTTTCCCTAAAGGGCACAATTTGGCAAGCTTTGACAAATGCATACATCATGAAAATAGCTCTACAATCAAGATAATGCCCCCCACAGTTTCTTTGTATCCCTTTGTCATCCCTCCTTTTTGTCCCTTCTTGTACTGCCCCCCACCCCCATCCTCAGGTAACTACTCATCTCTTCTCTATCACTGTAAATTAGTTTGCATTTCCTAGAATTTTATCTAAATGGAATCATACAGTATATACTCTTTTTTTTTTAAAGATTATTTATTTATTTATTCATGAGAGATAGAGAGAGAGAGAGGCAGAGGCAGAGGGAGAAGCAGGCTCCCCGCGGAGCAGGGAGCCCCATGCGGGACTCGATCCCAGGACCCTTAACCGACTGAGGCAGACGCTTAACCGACTGAGCCACCCAGGCATCCCAGTATATACTCTTTTGTTCTGGCTTCTTTCATATAGCGTAATTATTTTGAGATTCATCCAGGTTGGTGTGAGTATCAACAGTTCATTCCTTTATATTGCTGAGTAGTATTCCATTGTATGAATGAACCACAGTTTGTTTATCTAGTCACCTGTTGATGGACATTTGGGTTGTTTCCAGTTTGGGGCTATTAGGAACATTTGTGCTCAAGTTTGTATGGATACATAATTTCATTTGTCTTGATTATCCAGAAAATATCTGGTAAATATTTGAGTAACAGTTTCATTTCTTGAGCATCTCCTATGGTACCAGGCTCTGTGCTACATGCTTACTTAATCTTACGTCGCTGCAAGTTTAGTGTTATTGTCCTTCCTTTCCAAAGAAGAAAACCAATTCAGAAAGGTCAGGGGGCTGGCTCAGGTCATGGGGCTAGGGTCTTTCTGACTTGGGATTTGAACTCGGGTCTGGTGCATCGAAGGCCATGTCTGCTTTTTCCCCTCCCCTCAAAATACATATACTATCTCCCTTGATTCTTGAAATCGAAGACTCATTGAATCTTCAAACCACAAAGTTTTTATTTTTATTTATTTATTTATTTTTAAAGATTTTATTTACTCATTCATGAGAGACAGAGAGAGAGAGAGGCAGAGGCAGAGGGAGAAGCAGACTCCCCTTGGAGCAGGGAGCCCAATGCGGGACTCAATCCCAGGACCCTGGGATCACCACCCAAACCAAAGGCAGATGCCCAACTGACTGAGCCACCCAGGTGCCGAGACCACAAAGTTTTTAAATTTAAAACTACTAAAATTACCAAAAAAAAATTAATGTAAATTTTGAAATACGCAGAAGACATAAAGATTAATAAAACAAATATGGTAGGTAAGCTACAAAATAGTAAGAAATAAAACCTTGCCAACATAGTTAAATCTCCCTTGGGTACCCTTTCCAGGCCCTCTGCAGAGACCCCCACTGTCCTGAATTTGAACCACATGGTTTGGACATCAGCATAACACAAGAGCAGTGATTAAAACCATGGATTCCCCACTTCTTGGATGCATGATCCTGCGCGAGCACATGGCCTCTCAAAGCCTCAGTGTCCCTACCTATAAAAGGAAATAATAAAATAAAACAGGCCTCAAAGGGTCACTCTAGAGATTCAATGAAACAAAGCATGTAAAACAATTAGCACGGTGCCTGGCACAAAGGAAGGCTTAGTAAGTGGCAGCAAATGTTAGTACCAGAGCCTTAGAACTGTGGACTCAGGCTCATAAAATGTTCAAGTTAGAAGGGAGCATGGGGAACCCTGAGCGGATCATTCCCCACCCCAGCCCCCACCTTCTACACCCACTTTTCAGTGGGGAAGCAGGGGAGACAAAGGTATTTGCTGTTTCAAAGTGATTTTCCATCTAGGGAGTGAATGTTTGCCTGTTTCTTGCAATATCCAAAGTGCCTTATGATTCCAAAGGTCTGCCCAGAAACAAGTGATGACGGCCCTGAGTAGCCAATTGGAAGTATGCTGGCCTTTCTACCTGCCTGGGGAGCCCCCGCCTCCCCATCCTGTCCTGTTAAAGGCAGCTTTGCCCAAGTGGGGTTATTTCCAGCTTTGTGGTTTTCACTTCCACTTTTACCAGGTGGGCGGAGTGGCCTCCGGTGGACAAATCAGATTCCTCCTCAGCTCCAGCTTCAAGAGGTAAGCCAGGGGCTCAGGGTTCCAGACACCCAGGCGGCGGCAGCAGCAGCAGAAGCAGCAAGTGTGGGGAAGACCAGAGGCCAGAACCATGGAAGACCAGCGCGACCTCATCTCCAACCATGAGCAGCTGCCCATGCTCGGCCAGCGCCCCAGCGCCCCAGAGAGGTATGTGTGAGCTGCAGGAGAGAGCACACAAGTCCTGGACCACACAGACGTGCCTGGGTGCCCTGGGAAGAGCACTAGACAGGGAGCCACGGGAGGGATGGCTTCAGGCCCTGCCTCTGGGTGATTTTGAGCAAGTCTCTGGCCTGCTCTGGGCTTCTGTCTTCCCTCCTTTAAAATGAGGGAGCTCCGGGGGCGCCTGGGTGGCTCAGTTGGTTGAGCGACTGCCTTCAGCTCAGGTCATGATCCTGGAGTCCCGGGATCGAGTCCCGCATCGGGCTCCCTGCTCGGCAGGGAGTCTGCTTCTCCCTCTGACCCTCCCCCCTCTCATGTGCTCTCTCTCTCTCAAGTAAATAAATAAAATCTTAAAAAAAACAAAAACAAAAACAAAAAACCTTTAAAATGAGGGAGCTTCTCCAGGGCAGGGGTCTTAAATTTCTTTGCATGATACACTTCCGTCCTCAAAATCATAAGAGAGCCCTGGATTCTCCCCCTAGACTTTCACATAATACCAGGGGATTCCCAGACCCCCTGAAGCTAGACTGTGAATCCTAGGTTAGAAACCTTGGACTAGATTTGGAAAATGTTATGGATCCTAGATGGAGAAACAGAGTTTCTCAGAGAGGATGGTAGAAACTGCTCATCACAGTGGACTTTCTCTCTAATTACCACGGATAGGTGTATGTGTTTGTATTAGGGAAGTGTGAGTAGATGGACGCATCCACCATTACAGGAGGGATTGAGAGATGCCGGGAGGAGTCAGGAAAAGGCAAGGGTGGGGGCTCTGGCTAAATTTTTAGAAGGGATTGAAGGTTGATGTGGCATGCCCTGCCTGTGTCCCTCTCCCTTGCAGCAAGGGGCCAGCACAGCCATCCAGGAGGACCCCAGGACCCCTTTCCCAGGCCCAGGATTGTCTCATCCAGGTGTTTCCCTGGAAAAAAAAGACAAGAAAAGAAACAGGGTTAGAATGCGGCTACCCCATGGCCCCACTCTTCCCAATCTTCAAAAAGTAATTTGCAAATTGGGGCGATTGGCTGGCTCAGTCAGTAGAGCATGAGACTCTTGATCTCAGGGTTGTGGGTTTGAGCCCCATGTTGGTTGTAGAGATGACTTAAAAAAAAAAAAAAAGTAATTTGCAAATTATAGGGACTCAGAGCAGTGATGTCAGCTGTTGCCAGGCAGAAAGAGGTTTGGGAGAGACACTCAGAGATGTCATGAGGAACTGCATTCTGCAGAACCAGATACAGACCATCAGAGCATTCCTGTGAAAACCCTAAGGAATCCCAGGGCTAGGAGGGCTGACTCTCCTGTGAGGGCTAGATTCTGGTCCAGGTTCTGCTGCTGTCACATGTGACTTGGACAAATTGCTACTTCTCTCTGGGTCTCAGTAATAATAAAAACAATGAAGACACTAGTCGTGATAATAGTTCCCATTCACTGACTACCTGTCACCAGTCCTCAGCCAGGGTTAGTAATTCCTATGATTAGTTATGTGCTAAACCCAACCCTAACTCTCACAGTAGCCCTATAAGTCCGGTATTTTTATCATCCCCGTTTTTACATAAGAGAAAATTGAGGCTTTGTTAGTTAGCAGCTTACTGAAGTTATCACAGCTAGTGAGTATTGGAGTGAGCTAGTGAGAATTTGAATCCAGGACTAGCCTGACTTCGAAATATGAGCCCACTCTACCATCTGGCCTCCTTCTAGAGGCAGGATTTGCAGAGAGGGCAGGGAGGGCCACGCAGTGAGTCGCAGACCTAGCGCGAGCTCAGTGTACAGAGAGGGTGCCCCCTCCTCAAATCCTTGCCTGACTCTCCTTTTAGTTCAGGGACTGCTTCTAAAACTGGGCCTGGTCCTGTGTGCTCAGTCCATTCCAGCCTTGAGCCTGTTTCTCAGACCCCTTTGTGAACACTTCTGCTTCACAACATTTGTATCATGGTTCCTGCTAGTTCTGGTTGGCTCTTGACTTCAGCCAATTATTATTATTATTTTTCATTCAAGAAGGAGGCCATGGAAAGGAGGAAATGAAGAGAGAGAGGTGGCAAGAGTTGGCAGTCATCCAGAACCAGGGGACCCGCATTCAAGGGGCAGGAGGAGGAAGGAAACCAGATGCTAAAGTTAACTATTAACTCCCTTGAGAATAGTACTCAGTGCTAACTGTGTACCTAGGTGTGGAGCCAAGAGCTTTACCCTCATGATCTTATTTTATAAAACAACCCTTTGAGTAGCTGTTCCTACTTCAAGTTACTCGGAGGGGTTGACTTACCCCAGCTCCCTGACCTAAGGGGGTGGCAGAGCCAGGATTCCACTCCAGGTCTCATCTCCAATACGACTGTAGATTCTTAGGCCTTATGAGAAACTGAGGTTCAGAGAAGGTATAGTGGAAGGTAGAACTGGGACCTGATTGGGGTTGCAGAGGGGTGAGCATGTAGATAATGAGCTGGAGAGCTTGAACCCAGGCAAGACCCAGGCTTGGGTGGATGTTCACAGAAGCCAGGCCACCCCTGTTCCTGGAGAAGGCCAAGAAGTGGTACTTGTTCTCTCCTCCTGTCTGGTCTCCTTTTCCCCATGTGGGGTTTTTGCTTTCTCCTAACAGAACAACAACCTTTTGACCCGGACCTTGGCCCAGAACATGCAGAGGACTGGCAAGCAGAGAGCCAATGAGAATGAGCTATATGTGTGATGTCATGAGTTACTAGGCAGAAGGGTCTCCTAGAGTTTCCTAAACTGTCCTTGTTTGGTTCCTGGAGTAAGCAGAGTGTAGTCTCATGCTGACAGTTTCTAGTGGGGTTCTGGTAGCCCTACCGCTGGGGTGAGGTGGGAGAAAACAGGCCAGGAACTCTCAGGGTCCTGGGGCAGGATCCTTACCTTCCCTAAGCTGTGACATATTCATGTGCCCCCAAAACCATATCCAAGGCCAACCATTCCAAGAACTACCTGAGGTCTGGCCACCCCTCCCTGTGCAGCCAACTCGTTTAGAGAATGTGAGACATTCTCCCAGTCACACAGGCTCAGGCACCATACTCCTACTGAAATCCCCCCCGGGTGGGTAGTGCCATCTGAAATACTTGCGTGGTCACAGTCAGATCTTGCTTCAAAGAAGAAAACCACCAAATCCTAGAGTTGCTGAGGTGAGAGGCACCCACATGACAGGCCCGGAGAATGGCAGAGACTTGCTCAAAGACACGGAGAGTGTGGGGTGAGGATGTGTCCCCAGAGGGAGTGGTGCCCGACTCTGCTCCAGTCTGACATCATCCACTGCCCCCAGCCTGCTCCTAAAATGTCAAGGCCTCACTTCTCGTTTTCAGGTGGGCCACATGCTCTGCTGTGCAGGGCCCACTTCCTTCCCGTTTCTCTGATTTCACTGCAAGGGTTGGGGAGGTAGGGAGGTGAAACCTGTTCCCCTTGAGGGCAGTCCTGATGCTCAGGAGACCCCGCTGGCAGAAAGAACCCGGGGAGACCCTCCATGTCAAGCCCTTGGAGCAGAGGTGGGACGAGGCCCAGGAAGGACAAGGCACTCGTCTCTGGCTCTTCCCCACTCACCCTAGGTCCAGGGGCAGCGCTAGGATTTCTGCTCAGGAGGACTGTAGGAGAAGCAGTGGTTAGAGTTGTGGGGCTGGGGGAACGTCTTTGAGCTGTGTGTCCATAGGCACTTGTATGTGTGTGTGTTCGGGGTAGCTGAGGGGGTGGAGGAGCTGACGGAAACGGGGGACATCCCCCTGCTCTCAGTCAGCCCTTGGGGCAGCCGCGTCTGTGGACCCTCCTCTGACCTTCCTCCTGCCCCCCAACAGCAAGTGCAGCCGAGGAGCTATGTACACAGGCTTTTCTGTCCTGGTGGCTCTGCTCCTGGCTGGCCAGGCCACCACCGCCTACTTCCTGTACCAGCAGCAGGGCCGGCTGGACAAGCTGACGGTCACCTCCCAGAACCTGCAGCTGGAGAACCTGCGCATGAAGCTCCCCAAGTGTGCGTGCCCCACCTCCATTCCGACCTCCCCCACCCCACCATCCTTCCCTCGAGACCCCATCCCTGCACCCAGCTGGGCCCATTCTCTTCTCCCTCGGGTCTGGGATTCCAGCCCCTCCTCACTGGGTTGATCTTGGTCCCCAGTCCAGATGCTCTCTTCCCTGGGCACTGGGGCCACACTCATACTGTACCTCCTGTTCCCACAGCTCCCAAGCCTTTGAACAAGATGAGGGTTGCCACCCCCATGATGATGCAGGCGCTGCCCATGCCAGGCCTGCTCCAGGGGGTAAGGACAACCCGAGGGTGGTGGAACAGGGAGGTGTCATCTAGCCTGGATGGAGGGCAGGTGCTGAAGGCCAGGGGAGGATGGCTGAGCCAGGAAAAGCCCAGCCGGGGGCGGGGGGGGAGCTGTTGGGGGAGGACAGGGCCTGCCTTAGGAAGAAGAGGGCTCCCAGGGGTGGGGGAGGAAAGAGCCTCTTGGGGCCATCCCTGGGATGTTTACAAAATGCTTCTCGTTTACCAGAGCATCTCACGGCCCCCTCCCTTCTCAAATCCCTTGATGTCCTATATGGGTAATGTTTCTGTCCTGAAACAATCTGCTGTCCACAAAGCCCTGGGCAGGAAAGCTTATGCAGATTTGACCACTAAGGACGTTGACGCAGTAAGGGCAAGTGACTGGCTTGAGCTCTCCTACTTGGGCTCCTACTCCGAGGTGGCGGAGATGGGCCTGTTCCTGTTGAGCAGCTGAACTCCGGACTCCTACCCAGACCCGGAGCTGCTGGCTCTGTTGCAGGGCCCCTCCTCTGTGGGTTGGTACCGGTAACCCCCATTTCTTTCCTTCCACAGCCCATGCAGAACGCCACCAAGTACGGCAACATGACACAGGACCACGTGATGCACATGCTTCTGGTGAGTTGGGACCCCATGGGTGGCCCTGCCTGCCCACCCATGGTTCCCGCGACACCGCACTCCAAGGCCTGCACGATTCCGGCCTCACCAGATTAGCGAAAGAATGCCAACGTGGCCCTTAGCTGTCATATGTCGTCTAGCCCTGCCGTCCGCTTGAGTGTTTGAGATGGAGAACCTGAGGCCCAAAGCCCGGAAGTGGCTTGCTCAAGATGCCCATTTTCCCTTCCCGAGTTTCTGTGCAAGGCTCTGGGCTCACACTGGGAAGCAGTCAGACTCTGCTTCCAACCCCACAGGGGTCCCAGGCTGATGTGGGAGTTAGACAAGTGACCAGGTGATAAGGGACACGCAGAGGAAAGCAGCAGAGGACCCAGCGGGGGGGTGGGGGGTGGTGCAGGGGTGTTGATGAGGGGCGATCTGGAGGATGAGTAGGAGTCTGCAAGGAATAGAAGACTGGGGGTTATGGGTAGAACCGGGCCTGGAACCTGGGTCTCTGAACTCTCAGCCCTAGGATCACATAGCCGTGCAACTGCAAGGCCCTTGCTGCCTCCCCACTCCTTGGCCCCATTATGGCAGAGGTGCAGGGGAACGCAGCTTGCACATTTCACCTTGCCTGCCAGAGAGCTCTTTTTACACCTTCCTTCCTGCCTTGCTACCCCACAGGAGACTGACCCCCTGAAGGTGTACCCGAAGCTCAAGGGGAACTTCCCAGAGAACCTGAAACACCTTAAGACCACCATGGGGCCGCTGGACTGGAAGGTCAGTGGCTTGCCCTGTGCTGCCCCCTCTCATCCCCAACGCCTGGGACCGGCTGGCTCGGGGAAGCTATCCCCAGGGAGCTGGGGGGTGGTGCACCAGCGCCTACAGAGCCACAGACATGAAGGCTCCGAGCTGAGGAACCACCTCGACCAAACCCTATGGGTCTCTAAGAGGGAACTTGGCTGCAGCTGGACTCTGGGGTGTTGGGTCCCTCTTGGACCCTCCATGTCTGTTCCCAGGGGCAAAGTCAGGCAGGGCTGGAGGGGGCTGTGGGGCCTGACCCCTTGCCTCTATCCCATTAGGTCTTCGAGAGCTGGATCTATCAGTGGCTCCTGTTTGAAATGAGCAAGAACTCCCTGGAGAATAAGCCCGAGGTTCCACTAAGAGGTATGGGGAGCAGGAGCCTTGGGATGCCAGGGCTTCTGGAAGCTCCCTCAGGGCTCTCTGGGAGCCGCAGTGGGACTCCCCCAGTCTTTCTCTCACTCCTGTCGCTCCCACCTGTTCCTTCTGGGCTTGGCTGCTCCCCCTCAGCACTCCCTTTAGAGGCTGACCTCCCTCGTGGAGGCTGGCACTGCACACGTGGGACCTGGAGATAAGGACCCGACACATCCCAGGTGTCATCAGTGACCACTCAACCCCACGCAGGTTCTAGTGAGGGGGCTGGGCAGGGCTCATGACTCCACCTGCCGAGGGACCTCCCCGAGCTCACACAGCCAGTACACGCCAGATGAGAGGACCTTGGGGTTTTTCCGTCTTGGGGACAACGTATGATAGGATTTTCAGCCCTAAAGCCTCAAAGAGGGCCATGTCTTCCTCCTGGCACTAATTTGCCACACAACTTTGGGAAGTGTCTTCCCTCTAGGCTTCAGTTTGGGGAGTGGAAGATCAGGGGCCCAGCCCGTCCCACCAGAGGCCTCCAATTTTCCCAACATGGATTCATAGAAGGCACCTTCGATGCCATGGTGACCAACTGTCAGCTGATGTTTGAATCCCTCTACCACATCCTCAAAGCCCCATTTGTACCTGGATAACTCCAGTAACAGAGGCTCAGACTTACCAGGATGCCCATTGCTTTTCCCTAGAAATAAGAATCACAGGTGCAATTCCAAACTTTAATAGGCATTGAGTGTCCGAAGAAACCGAGTTCTGGGATAAGTCAGCCTCGTGGCTATTCACTTCCACTTCGATCTCACACCTTGTTGGTCCAGGCCTTAGTTTCCCCACCTGTGCCGGGGTAGAGCGAGCACAGCCCGGTGGGCAGAAGGCATTAGGCCCACGGCGGCGGCATGCGGACGTCTGGTTCTGCTGCGGTGCCGGCCCAGGGCTTGCTCGCTCACTGTCTCCACCGTGCCTGTCGCTTCAGTACCGACCAAGTGCCAGGAGGAGGTCAGCCGCATCCCCGCCGTCCACCCTGGCACGTTCAGGCCCCAGTGTGATGAGAACGGCCACTATAAGCCGCTCCAGTGCTATGGGAGCACCGGCTATTGCTGGTGCGTCTTCCCCAACGGCACCGAGGTCCCCCACACCAGGAGCCGCGGGCACCGTCACTGCAGTGGTAAGCAGTGCCTACTGGGCCAGGGAGCGTCAAAGCGGCAGCAGGACCCAGAAGGCCCTGGCACACGGGGGGCAGCCCCTCAGCAGCCCCTTCGTCCACCTACGCATGCAGTCGTCTGTCCGCCGGTCCTCTCTCTCCTTACGTCCACTCATCTGCTCACTCATCTGTCCTTCCCTCCTCCATCTGCGGCGCTCACGCCGCTAGGCACCGCCCACGGTGCATCCAGGAGCCCTACAGGCCCACCCATCTCGTGTCATGGCTCCCTCCCTTGGCCTGCCCCGAGCACACCTTAGTGCTGCCATCCAGCCAGTCCTGCCTCCACCAGGCACGAGGCCGGGGCCAGGCTGGGACGAACGACCCCAGCCTCTCGCCAATGGGTGTGGGAGGCTGGACTGCCCAGTGACACATGGCCTTGCTATTCCCTTGCAGAGCCACTGGACATGGAAGACCTGTCATCCGGGCTGGGCCTGACCAAGCAGGACCTGGGCCACGGTAAGGGCCCCTGTAGGGGTCATCTGGGCCCCAGCAGCTTATCCCCTGAGGGGCCAAATCCCTCTCGGGCCCTCCGGTACAGCATGACCCCGGGCCATTCTCCAACCTCCCCGAGACACTCATTTCACAACCGAGGACCGCTACTAGGGGCTGTGGGGGTGGAGAGTCCTCAACTGCCCTGAGATCCCAGGGTGCTGGGAAGGGGCAGGGCCAACAGGTGACCCCCACCCTAACCTGCTGCTTCTCTTCTCCGTAGCGGGCGTATGAGACAAGCAGACGCAGATGCCGGCACGCAGCCTGCCCCGCATGGCCTCTACCTCCTTGCTCCCCTCCACCCTCAGCCCTAGCCCCCCTCCTTCCCTTACACACAGTCTCCCACTGTCTCCCACTCTGCGCCTCCTTCCACAACACCCTGGCACCTGGCTCTCCATCAGCCTTAGACACAAGTCACGTCAGAGAACACAGATGTAACGATGCAGGAGGGTCCTGCTGCCTGACCCCTCATCCATCAGCAGGAACGCATGGCCCAAGGAGGTAGACCAGGAGCTAGGCTGACCCCCATTTCAGCCTCCAACATGGAGCCCCAAGATCCAGGCCCACAGACAAGATGGAAGGTGCAGGGAGAGGGGACAGTGCTCCCCCACACCCAACATGTTAGCTGTTCCTGCCCTTTTGGCCTTGCCTTTCTAGCCTACCTAGCTGCGGGGAGGAGCCACGCTTCCCCTCCCCAGCAGCACTCCCCCAGAAGAACCAGCCTCTCCACAACCCCCTCCCCCTTCCCTCCATGCGGCCAAGCTTGTCACTGGCCCTCAGGGCCGCAGCTCTGTGAAAATAAAAGGTAGTAAGTAGAACGCTTCTGGCTCCTGACTGTTGTTGGGATCTGGCTCGGGGACCCCAAGGAGGTACCTGAGACCTTGAATCCAGTGGCGTGGGTGGAAGGGCACAGCCCAGCGAGCCCAGCCCCAGATGCCCGTGGGGCCCGGCCGGGCTGCGGAAGTGCACTCGTGGGACGCAGGCATGCCAGCTTGCCGTGGGGACACACAGGCGTACTCTACTTCCAGAAAGAAATAGGCTCTTGCCCAGAATCGTTTAAGTACAAGTTCGTCCCGTCCTCATTTCTCTACTAAGAACAGCGTGAGTGTGAGGACGGACAGCAGTGGTGTAGGCCCCGGTGTCGGGACTGCCAGGAAGGGGGCAGCTGTGGGGAGCCAGGGGCTCACGCCCTATGTAGACCCGTTCGAGACCAACACGCTTAGCAGGAGAGAGAAGCTAATACGGGGCAGGGCCCCGAGTGAAGGGTGCAGCGGATGCCAACCCGGGTCTCCGAGACCTCCAGCCCAGCGCTCTCCTTTTCCACATGGCCTCTTACTCTCGCTGGCAGGAGGCTCAGGGCCCTGGAGAGAAAGCTCGGCGTCCTCTGGGGCTCCACGCAGCTCCGGGCAATGGCATGGCTGCCCTCGCCGCTTGCTGTAGATACGGCACCCAGACAGATCTCTGGAGTTCATATATTTCTTGTCTTCATCATCCTAGAACCTTCGTTATCTGGACACGAAGGCAACTCAATCCTAACTGGTTTCCCTGCTCCTACTCTGCCCGCGGTTACCTATTCTCTACCAGGCACATCAAGAGGGCCTGACTCCAGCTCACACCCCACCTTCAAAAGCTGGCTTGGAAAGTCATCCCCCACCTGCCCTCTTCCACTTTCTGCCTCTGGATGTTTGCCTGGCCCTAACCAACCAGCTGTGACGATGCACGAGGTCCCCCTTAGCGGAGATGCCACTTCCTCCGGGAAGCCTTCCCCACGCTGACTCAGCACCTGGGGCATTTCGCAGAGTCTTGTTCTCTGGCAACCTGTCCGTTCCACTCACCACAGCGTCCCAGAGCTTGATATGTAGCCAAGAACAAATCCTGAGCAGGATTTGGTCACCTCCAAGCATCAGCCAGGCTGTCCCTTCCAAGAATAAGTCAATTGCAAAACATTTGTCCCCGATGCGCTGGGAACTTGAACCTTTCCTTCAAGCCTTTTATTTTCTGAGTTGATACAAAAAACCACAAACAAAACAGGGAAAAACTGACAGAGAACAAAGCCTCAGCATCAGCCAGAGACCAGAGACGTGGAAGGAGCTGCAGGCTGGGCCTTGCTAGGTCTGCAGGGCCAAGAGATGGAAAGTCCCGAGGCCCCTGGGCCTGCTGGGTTTGAAGGGGGAGGGGCAGGTCACTTAAAAAAATATATATATACTGTACACATCTATCTGAAGCATTCTGTGTCAGGACAGAAGTCAGACGCGGAGTCGGTGAGTGCAAGTCACTTCTCCTCCTCCTCGGACCAGCCTGTGCAGGGCTCACTAGCTCGGCCAGCACGGGCTCTGCGGCGGGCTGGCTTCTTCTGGGGAGGGAGGGAAGTTAAAGATTGAATCCCAACCCATGGTGGCCAGAGGGCAGAGGCATGGGGCTGGTCACCACTTGGCTAGGAAATCCCTGGGTGAAGGAAACATATCCAGATATAAGATGTCCCGACCTTTTTCTCCAAAGAGAAGAAAATAAAATCAAAACCCGGTGTCTCTGATGCAGGGGAGGAGCTTTAACCACAGCGGGTGCTTCAGTGCGGACCGTGTCCCAGAATGGGACTGAGCGCTTTAGTGCTCCACACTTCACTTAATCCTCAACGCCAGCCAGGTAGGCTGTGTCCACCCCCCCCCATTTCCAGGGGGCTGGTGGCTGCTGGGGTCCCATCAGCCGCTTCACCACCACCCGGAAAGCACAGCTCCGTCAGAGTGGCTTATCCTGAGGAAACATCATCTTCCCCATGAGGAATGCCCTCAAATGACAAGATCACAAGGAAGAGGAAGTGGACAGTGGCGGGAAGAGACCAAGCCGTACTTGACCTCGAGCCTCATCCTCCTCTACAAAGAGGCACTATCCCAGTGCCCGCACCCAGGGAGTGCTGTGTTGGTCCCGGCCATCATTATTCTAGATCCTTCTGATTCTGCAGCTCTGATTTCTGGCATCGCCTCACTGGCCCCACTGACCTTGAGGGACAGAACCACTTTCTCCAGCCCCCACTCCTTCCCCCTGCTTGGCCCCTGCGACCAGGCCAGATGCTAGAGTTACCCTCCTACCCTCACCAGGGAGGGGAGGTCAGCAGGGATCCCCCGGCCAGGAAGCATACCTGTCGCCGTGTGCCCCTCAGACAGTCTGCTCTGCTGTCTTCTTCTGTGAGGAGAGAAGGAGGAGAAGCTCCTGTACCTGAAGCAGCCCCGCCCCCCCTGCACCCCCCCCCGCCCCCGAGCGGACGTGATAACCGGTTCTCTCCTGAGGACTTGCAGCTCCCCCTCCCGGAACAGATATTGGGTATACAGGGATCCCCAAGGGCAGGGCTGGGGCCCTATTTGCCCAGGAAGGAGCCCGGGACACTGAAGCCAGCAGATGCTCAGCTGAACACAGCTGAGGCCCCACTGGCCATGGTGAGAACTGCACCGTGTAAGGTGCAGAGGCCCCCCTACTCCGGTGATCAGCCTCTGGAACCCATAAAGCAGAGGGGTGTGTTTCTGTGATGGGGATACCCTGCCAGCTGGGGTACATACATCCCAGGGAATGTACCCTCTCACCTCAGTCTTCCTGGCTAGCCTCCCTGCCCCCCACCTCAGGGCTCTCCTTCCTTCACCCATCCCAAGAACATCCTTCACCTCACAAAGACGGGGCCACTCCCACGGCTTCACACACACAGGCCATGTCCCTCCCTCAGGGTGGCCCGTGCCTTCCACCCATCTTCGCCAGCTTGTCACAATTCATGAGGCCCCAACCTCTGGACCCTGAGAATGGATCGGGGGCAGGGAGCAGGTCTGGCCTGCCCTACCCGCACTCTGACACACACAGGATGGGGCTGATCACATTCACCCTGGGGACTGGGTTTGGGTCCTTTTTCTGGCTGGAGACCCCTCAGGAACTCACGCTACCTTTTTCTTCTTTTTTTTCTGGAATGGTGAATCAGGGTCTTTGGTTGAGGCCTTTTTTACTTTCTTCTTCTTTTCCTTTTTTTCCTTGTCTTTTTTTTCTAAGGAAAGAAAGTAAAGCCTCTAAATAACAGAAGCATGGTGGGGGCGGGGGGGTCAATGTCAAGAGATAGGGCTGGTCTCAAGGGATCCTAGAACCACTCCTCCCAATGCCAGGTCCCCAGTTCTCCCCACACTCCGGGGACCCATCAAAACACAGGCCCAGGCCTCTGTGACCACCTGCCCTGGCCCAAGAGCCCATCCACGGACCATCTGGACTACTATTTCTAACTCACTTTTTAAAACTTCCACACATTTTAAAAAGTGACATTCTACCTGTAAACGGAAACATCACCTAAGGGACAGACAGGGCTGGACGAAAGGAGGTTCTGCGGCACGCAGAGTCTATCGCAGAGCTTGGGAAGGGCCAGCCGCCATGAGCTCTGAGGGGAAGCTTCTATCTAGGTGCCTGGGCTGCAGAAGCAGGACGCTGAAGCGCGCGTGACAACTGGCCGCCCGCCGGGAGCGAGCACCGCTGGCCCGTGAGTAGGCCGCACCCTGCACCCTGCAGCTGCATCTCCCCGGCTCCCTGGCAGGTCAGCCCAGAGCTCCGGGACCCAGCTCCGGCTCTGCCACCCCCACCCCGGCCCCAGACCAACCAGTTCGCAGCCTGTCCCTTCTGTGCCCGCCGGCGGCCCGCCCCCACGGCATGCTGACTGGAGGCTCTCCGCATGGGCCCCAAAGCCTGTTCCAGGCTGCAGCCGGCCAGCCACTTACTCTTGTCGGATTTCTTCTTCTCCTTCTTGCTCTTTGGGTTGCCTTGGTCTCCACCCTCAACCTTCAGTGTCCCTGGCTCCCCTTCTGGCTTCTCCTTGGCCCCCTGGGAGCCAGGAGACGCTTTCTCCTTCTTCTCCTTGAGGTCACCACTCACTCCGTCTCTCTTGGCTTTCCCCTTGGGAGTCCTGAGGGCCTTTTCTGGCGAGCCGGCACCCTCCCCACCTCCCCCAGCCACCAGCTGCTGCTTCTTCTTGCTCTTGGGGGCTCTGGCGGCCGTCTGGTCCCCCGACAGCTTCCGCTTGCGGCCCACCCGGCCCTTCCTGCTGCTCTCCTTGGCAGCATCCGCGGCCTTCTTCCGCTCCTGCTCCAGCAGCTCCGTCAGGACCTTCACCACCGAGGCCTGGACTCCGGCCTCGTTCAGGGGCCAGGGCTCGCTCAGGAGGCGCCGGCTGAGGTCGCTCTGCAATGCCAGTATGGAGGCCTGGGGACTCTCGGCCTCCTTCCTGGGCTTCTGGGGCTTCTGAGGCGTGGGATTAGCCTCCCTTCTGCCTGTGGAGAGAGAACACGGGGTCACGGGTCGGGAGAGTTAGGAAACAGGCTCACCCTGCACGTGCAGGGTGCGGCCCACTCACGTATAAGCCAAGGGGGCGTCTAGGGACACAGCTGACCTCCTCGGACAAGGTACAGACAGGGAAAGGGCGGCCTAGCGGTCACTCTGCCCCACTGCCTGGCTCACACCTTTCCAGCAGTTTCTAACTTAGCTCTTTCGTCTCCTTGCACTCCAGTCAGGTTGGAGATGGAAAAGGACTCCAGAATCTTAAGGATGGGGAGTGAACTCTACCAACAAAATGAAAGGTCAGACAGGAGGGAGACGGTATTGTCCAGTCAGAGGTCCAGAGCTGGGAGGCAAGGGACTTGGATTCCAGGTTTGACTACCACCAGCATGCTGTGGGACTGTGCTCCTCCCTTGGCCTCAGTCTCCCCATTGGTAAAATAAGGGCTCAGATGAACGGTGAGGCCTCTATTCTAAGTCACGGACTCATGATAAGAGCTGGTCAGGGGACAAGGCAGCCTAGCGGGTGACAGGCCTGGTGTATACGCACATGGTGGCTGATGAAGCAGGTTTGCTGCCTGCCAGAGTGACTTCTGGTGCAGCCTTTGTTTAGAATTTTCCACGCCTCTGCTCTCCTTTGATAATTGTGTGCTGACTACATGTGTGAAAAAACCCATCCACAGCCCCCTCTAAAATGTCTCCCCGTCGCCCCCGCCCCTCACAAAGAACACTGGGGCAGACAGTGAGCAACGACCCTTCTGCTGACCCAGCAGCGGTGAGCTGCAGCTAAAGCCAAGGCTGGGGTATCGGGGGGCGGGGGGGGGGCAACATTAGCAGTATCCCGCTGCTGCCCCTGACTTCCCGGGTGACTCGGCAGGTTTGCACTCATTCTGGGCCTCACACACACAACCGTGCCTACACGCTGGCTCTGAGAGGCGCCCTGTGGCCCGACCCAGCTCCCCGTCATGGGGCTGGGGCCTGTTGCCCGCAGCATGCGGTGGGCCCAGGGTGGGAGCTCAGGGGAGGCGCAGACGGCAGGCTGAGCAGGGGTCGTGGGGGACGGCGTCCCAGGACAGACGGAGGCCCAATTCAGTTGTTTGGTGCTTCTTGGCAACGGCAGGGGTTGGCTGGAGGGGGAAGCTGAGGAGGTTTGCGCTGGCAACCTCCTTCCCTGCAGCCCACGTCTCTGCTTCCTGTCTACAAACACCCTAGGACACCACAGCTGGGGAATGCCTAGAGCTGTCCCAGGCGTGCCCATCAGAGCTATCTGTCCCTCAGCACAGGCAATGCCCCAGGCTGGGTGACCTCGGCAACTCCGGTCTGCCCTCCAAACACCGCGTGACAACTGTCTGTGTGTGCCACGCCCTGACACTCACTGGATGGATCTACTCTGCCCTCTGTGGTTAAGACCCAGAGGCCCAGTGTGGCTAGGGTCCTGTCTGAGGCTTTACAAGTCAGCCCATCACCTGGGGTCTCTGCCACGTGCTAGAGACTTCTCCAAAAATGGCTCCTGCCTTCCATCTGAGCTGCCTCAGTTCCCACACCCCACACCATGTGTCCATTTGTTCGGAAGCAGAGGCAACGGGGACAGTTAGAGAAAGCCAAGGCCGCTTGAAGGCACGGATCACCCGACCAGATGCACCAGCATCCCACAGAGCTGGAAAACCCAACTTCCAGGCTGTCCCAGGTCGTAAGAGCCAGACACCCAGATGTGGGGCACCAGGCCTTGCTTGGAGAGGCCCTTGTGACAGACAGGACCATACTGGTAGGACTGTTCGTGAGGGAGGCAAAGAAAGGGCCCACTGCCTTGTCCCTCCGTGTCCCCGTGTCTCTCCTGTGGCCCTTGACTCACTTGTTTTAGGGGATACGGTGCCTGCTACATGTTGGGGCTCCACTTCCTGCTTGCCGTCTGGGGCATCTTTGGTGGCAGAAGCAGAGGACGCCGAGGGGTTGAGGTCTGGCCCAGCAGTGGCCTTTGAAGCCTGGGAATTGGCCAGAGTCGGCCCAGGGGTCACATAACCTGAGAGGAGAGACTGAAGAAACCCAGTGTGAACGTGGCTGGAACCTGCTCCACCCGTGAGTGCAGGGCCTACTCTGAGGAAGCCGTCCCAGGAGCCCCTAAGGTCGGGCCAGCCCTCTCGGGCCTGGCGTGGGGCACATGAGCCCTTCATACGGACCTCCTGCACTGTTTTAATTAATCAGATTTCCCTCAGCCACATTTAAAAAGACAATCTCTCACTACTAACGCGAATGGAAAATCACTAGCACTTGCCGTGTACAGAAGATAACCTTAGAAAAATCCCATCTGTTCCAAAATGTCTTTTTTTTCTGGGACTCATCTAAAATCAAGGCAAGCCTTTCCTATAGGCTCTAGGAGTCCACTACTCATGGCTCTATGCTGAAACAGAGCCTCAGGGGGAGAGACGGGGCCCCGCCGTGGTGGATGGCCTCGGCCTAACACTGCAGCACGTGGCCTCTAGCGCCCGCCTGAAGGCCCCCAAGGGGCCAGTCCCCTCCCTCACCATTACCTGAGAGGGTGCCACCACCTCGTCCTCACTGGACTCCGCTGTGGTCTCCTCCACCAAGGTCTCCGTCGTGGAGGGGGCCGGACCTACCGGGGGGGGGGGGGCAGAGGCCAGCTGTCGGGAGGCCCTGGGATGGCCTGAGCCTTCCGCTGGTCCCTCGCCCTCCTGCCCAAGGTTTTACCTGCTCCTACGACTCCCTCCCAGCTCAATGGCTATTCGCAGCCTTCTAAGCAAGACATCTCAATGCCAAAACCTTCCATTCTAATTCCTGAGGCCCGACTTCTGCTTCCCTGCTTTTCTTTCTTTAAAGGTTTTTATTTATTTATCAGAGAGCGCACACCCGCACAAGCAGAGGGAGTGGCAGGAAGAGGGAGAAGCAGGTTCCCTGCTGAGCAAGGAGCCCGATGAGGTCCTGGAATCACGACCTGAGCCGAAGGCAGATAGATGCTTAACCGCCTGAGCCACCCAGGTGCCTCATTCTGTGCGGGAAGCATGACCCCGGGACTTTGGGGGGTCAGTTATGGGAGCCTGAGAGTAAAAAGCTGGCAGTGGTCAAACAGCAGAGCTAGAAGATCTTTCGTATCATTTGGACCAACCTCCTCGTGGGGTTGTACAGATGGGAAACTGAGGCCCAGCATGGGGTGACTGGGCCCAGGCTGCAGAACAGGTGGAGATACAGAGCCGAGGCCGCCACTCCCCCGCTCGGGGCCCACCTAGCCTTCTCCTGGGACCCTCACCTAGCCTGGGGGCCGAGGGAGCCATCGGGGTCCCGGCAGCACCCTCCTCGCTCCCTGAAGAGCTGCAGCTGCTGTCGTCCCCGTCACTGGAGGTGTCAGAGGCCTTGGCTTTGGCGCGTCCGGCAGGAGGGGCTGTGGCCCGCTGGACCGCAGGAACCTCAGGCTTTCTGAGCTTGTTGGTCCCCTTGGCCTGCACAGGGAGTGTTCCCAGAGCACTGTCAACCTAATTTGGTTTAAAAAAAAAAAGAGAGCGAGAGAACAGAAAAAAAAATGAAGGGAAATAAACTTGGTGCCTACCGAACACCCCAGTTACCTCAGGGCTAGGCGCCTGTTAGCTGCTCTGCACCAGGCCTCACTCAGCCCTCCCACAAACGCTGAGCCGGGCAGCGGAGGCTGGGGGCGGGTGGTGTGGGTTATAGACGTGTGCATGCAACAGTCACAGGGCGGTAAATGCTGGCGCTGGGACCTGGGCCCCTCCCTGGCCCCTCCCTTCTATGGTCTGTCATTTTTGCTCACACTGTCCCCTCCAGGGTGGGGCCGCCCCCCCCAGGCTCCCCTGCTCACCCCACTGGAAGACGGGGTCCTGGCAGCAGGAGGCTGGGCCTCACTGGCTTTCTGGGCAAGGACCTTCAGGGCGGCCTGGGTCAGAGGGAGGCGAGCAGGGCTCCTCTTTGTCACCTGTGGACAGCCACAGGCAGCCCTGAGACTCGCAGGTCCTCGGGATGCCATCTGTGCCAGGCCCTGCTCAGATCCCGGCTGGGGTCGGAGGGGACCTGTATCTGCACAAGGAGCCACGGGGCTGGAGGAGGGGACTGAGGGACAGTCAAGGGGGTAATACCACCCTCAGGGGCAGAAAACAGGGCCAGGCTGTAGGTTGTCAGCTGATCCTACTGTTCTCAGTGGAGCCAAAGACAGCTTTTAGCCCAGGGGAGGGAATCAGCTCGGCTCCCACCTGAGGCCCCCCCCAACTCAATCTGAGCTTGCACTTGGGAAAAGCCTCTAGTCTGGTGTCTGCAAAAACCTCCTCAAAGGTCTCCCTGGTGCCACTCCTGCTTCCCACACCTGCCACTAGTCAGGGAGACAGAACTGGAAAGGAGCCGGGCGGGGCTCCCCCTGCAAACCTGGGCAGCCCTCACCACGGCCTGTCGGGCCTGGCTCCTCTTGCCTTGCTGCTTCCCCCAGCTCTCCCACCCAAGTGCTTCCCCAGATGGTCCCAGCCCGGGTTCCCCTGGCTGGAGTCCTCCCTGGCTCGCCCTGGCTTGCCTGCTTCTCTAGCCTCGATGGGGAGGCTGCCCTTTCCTGCCCATCCTTCCTAAAGCAGCTCACCTCATTATTCTCTAGTTTAGACTCAGTTCCTTTCAAAGTACCCACCAACTGGTGAGTACTTGTTGGCTTCCTTGTTTCATGGCCCACGAGCCCCTCCCTGCCGTCTGCCTGGTGCGGACAGATGCTCGGCACCATCTGCTGGCCGAACGGAGGCGGGCTGCCGGGCGCAGTGACCACAGCACAGCTGGCCGGCACCCGTGCTCCCAGGAAGCTTCTCTTGGGCTGTAGCTCGTGGGGAGCCCCTCTGGGCTAGGGGCGCCCAGCTCCCTCCTGCCCTCTTAGAAGAGAGAGGTGGGGTGCAATGGGATGGGAAAACTAGCCCACGTGGCCCAGGAGCGGGGTGGGGAGTGAGGAGACCTGGGTTCTGGCCCTGCCTAATCCTGGACAGGCCTCAACGGTCTTGAGGGACAGCGCTCAGCTCTGTCGTTCGCACAAGGAGCTGCTAACTCTACCCTGCTCAGGCTGTAGATTTAGGCAAAGACCCAACAGAAATGCACTGAAAATGGTGAAGGCCAGGAAGTCACCATTATCCACACTAAGAGAGACAAGGTTTGTTCACAGCATTTCCAAACCGGGACGGAAAAGGCAAACAAACCAAAAGCGCAACCACGTTGGAACGGCTGCCGAGGGGCTCGCGGAGCCACAGCGTGGCTCTGCCTGGGGGCCACGCTCCCAGACTACTCTTCCTCACAGCTCAGAGGTATCTGGGAGCCTGGTCGGGGCTGCAGCCAAGCCAGGGAAGGCGCTTGGCTGCGAGGGGGCGGCTCCTTGGGGGGGGAGGGCGGTGTGTGGAGGAGAGCGACGGCAGCCCCACCCAGCAGCATGTGTGGGGGTGGGGAGGGCGGGGGGGGGGTCCCCTCGCCCCTGCCGGCCTGCACGGCCCTCCCTTGCCTGCTGTACCTGAGCGACGGGCGCCTCCTGTTTCTTGCCTTCTGACACCCGACCGGACGCCTCCCTGCTGCCGGCCCCAACAGTGCTGGCCCTGACAGCTGGCCTTGGGTGCACCGTGAGCACGGCTGCTTTGGTTCTACTGGCTGAAATGGAGCAGGATGGGGTGCAAGTCAGGGCACACATGCAGCAATCCCCAATTATCAGCCCTTCCTGGGGACAGGGCCCAGTGCTCACGGCATTTGCAGCAGAAGCCTGTTTAATGTCCTCCCCGAGGGCGCCTGGGTGGCTCAGTCGTTAAGCGTCTGCCTTCGGCTCAGGTCGTGATCCCAGGGTCCTGGGATTGAGCCCCGCATCGGGCTCCCTGCTCCGTGGGGAGTCTGCTTCTCCCTCTGTCCCCGAATCCCTGGCTCATGCTCTCTCTCTCACAAAAATAAATAAAATTAAAAAACCAAACGCCATCCCTGAGCCTCACAGGCAGGAGCCGTCATTAGCTCTGTGTCACGAGCTCAGGGGAACCACAGGACTGCTGTGACCCCAGGCTTTCTCCCTGGCCCCTCCCCACACTTCAGTCCTCGATGCTGCCGTCCCTCAGCTGGCCAGGCCACCACTTTGAGCACTGGTGGGGAGCACGGCTACCAAATGGGACTCTGTGCATTTAGAAGAGTCTTTTTTTTTTTTTTTTTAAAGATTTTATTTATTTACTTGGCAGAACAGAGAGAGAGAGCACAAGTAGGGGAGCGGCCGGCAGGCAGAGGGAGAAGCAGACTCCCTGCTGAGCAGGGAGCCCAATGTGGGGCTCGATCCCAGAACCCCGGGATCATGACCTGAGCCGAAGGCAGACGCTTTAATCGACTGAGCCACCCAGGGGTCCCTAGAAGAGTCTTCGTAAGAATGTCATGGTCATTTGCAAAGGCTCAGTCCCGTGCACTCACTGTAGCACTGTTCGTGATAACCCCAAAGCCCCCACACAAAGCCCGTCGCTTCCTCCAGCCTGGCACCGCCCACATAAACTATGCTAAGCCCTCCCAAAGGACAGCTCTGTGACCAGCAGGACTCACACGGTAAATACGTAATGTCACAGTTCGTCAAGTAAAAATTACAGAGCACGTGTGCACACTATGACCTCACTAAAAACACAGATACAGCTGCAGTTCCTGTAGTTTCGGTAAAATTAACAGTTCTAAAACGTCAGTAATTATTCCAGACAGCGTGATTACGGTGACATTTCTTCTTCTGTGCTATTCTGTATTTAATGAGCCCACCAAAATCAGGTCTTATTATTACCCTCACAGAATGTCACAACAACATTAGCCATTTTCCTGATGGCAACGGGAGTACCAGATTCTCAGAAGTCAAAAGAAACCCCAGATAGGGTCCTGTCTCCCACGGATAGAAGGAATCCTTGCCTACGATGTCTGGTTAGGGATTACCTAACCCTCTGTACATGCCACCAGGACCACGAGGCTCACTACCACCTCACAGCCCTCTCCCCGTTCAGGCAGGCAGTTGTTACAAAGCTCTCCCTTAGATTACGTAGGAACCTGCTGTCTGCAGCTTCTAGCCGCTGGCGTGGGTTCCACCCCCTGGAGCTGGCACAGAGAAGTGCCGGCAAATGCTGGCTCCGGAGATGGAGACCAGAGGTAGTTGCTTATCGGGACGAACCAATGCCAGGGGCAGAGACCTGGCTCCAAGCCCCTCCGGACCAACAACCGTGTGCTGGGTGACTCAGCCAGCAGCCTCTCCCCTTGGGCCGCAGTGAGCTGTGTGTGCTGCGTGCGCTGCGTGCGAGCCCGGCGGCCCCTGCCAGGCGAGCCTGGCGGTTGCGGCACGGGACTCAGCCCTGCGTAGCGGGCCCGTGCTCACCAGGAGTGGAGCACTGCGTGGCGGGTATCACATCCTCATCCTCACTCTCAGAGGAGGAGCTCCTGGCTGTGCTCGCCGAGGCCCGGGCCTTCCTCGGGGTGTTTGCCGCCGGGGTTTGTGTGGCGGTAGCAGCCGGGCCAGCTGGACTACGATTAGGGTCGACAAAAATCAGAGGGGGTTTAATCACCTTGAAAAACAAAAACAAAACATACCCCCCCAGTGATTAAAGGTTTGGCCAGGCAAAGGGGAGGTTGGGTGGGGGTCCAGAGCGCGCAGGGCAGCCGGGCAGGCAGAGGCCATTCCGGCCACCCACAGCACTCTCAGTGCGCCACCCGCCCATGCACCTGCTAAGACCCACACAGCACCTCACAGCCCCCAGGAGCCCCTGAGGTCAGCGGTCCTGGCTCCACTGTACAGCTGGGAAAACTAGAAGTGCAGAGAGGGGAGAAGAGTTGCCCAAGGCTGCAAAGCTTACTGACTGTACAGCCAGGGCCAGAAGAGCCAATTCAGCCTGCTTTCCTCTGGCTGACTTCAGGGCCGGACAGACGCCGGCCGAGCCGGGTGCTCCAAGCAGCAGGCCCCTCAGCTGCCCGGCTGTCCCCCACGATTCTTCTGGGGAGCTGTGCATAACCGAGCTGCCCCCACCCCAGCCACGCTGGTGCAGCCTCCTGAGCTGTGGCCCAGGGCACAACGACCTGACTTCACGCTGACCCCATGTCTTCAACAAACAAACCGCACGGGGGAAAAGCCAAGGTGAAGACTCAAGGGACCCAATGCAGTGTGTGCCCTGTGTGAACTCTTATCCGAACACACCAGATGTAGACTATCGTTCATGAGACAATCTGGGAAGTGGGGATGCCGAGTGCGCAGGCCAGTTTCTTAGGAGTGATACTGTATGGTGGCCATCCTCTCATCAGAGAGAGGAAGCCAGGGGTGCTGGGGAAGGAGTGGAGGGCTTGCATGAAGCGAGCCTGGTCACAAGTGCAGACCCGCTGAGGCTGGGGAAGGCACGCGGGGGTTCTGCATGCTGTTCTATCTTTGGGCAGGCTTTGCAGCTTCCAGTGAGGCAGTAAAAGAGAGAGAAAGTGGCCGCTCCCTGGGATCCTGCGGACCAGGCCGGGGTGGCAGCTCTGGTGGACATGTCCACCGTACACAAGGGCACCCTCACACACATGGAGCCTGCACCTTCCATCCCCCGAGGTCAGACTCGGTCTAAGTTCCACACCCTCCCTTGCCCGGGGGGAAACACAAGACAGCAGGAGGAAGCTGCCCAAGGCCAAGGTCTGGGACCCCGTCTCGCCCATCACCCCACCCCGCCCACCTCCGGGGCCCAGGGGGGCCCAGGGCAGCCCAGGGCGCGGTGGGAGAGGCATCCTGAAAAGTCAAGCAGAGAGGTGCCCGCCCGAGGGTGGGAGTTCTGCTGGGCTGGGGCCCTTCCCACCCTTGCCAAACAGCCTCCCCCGCGGCTGCTCTGATCTGCCACTTCCAGAGCCTGCCTTCCCACATGATGAAAGAGAGAAGGATGGGAAGTGGGAGAAGGCTTACAGTTGAGGGAGGGGGGGGGGATCTATATATATGTGAGAAGACAGAAGAACAGATTGTCGGGGACGAAGAGAGGCACCGAACCCACCGAGGAAAACAATAGCGTCTGGGATGTTAAAAGCAGCTCAGCAGCAAAAGCCTCCTCCTCCCTGTTCCACCTGCCCACACGGCCTCGGCCTCGGCCCCGGGGGCGGTGCAGGGGGCCTGGCACTGGAGGGCAGGGACACGAGGGGCCCAGGGCTGGGCCCTGGACACGACAACAGTGCAGCAGCAGCATCGGATCGTTCAAAAGGTGGGCCGTGCGACCCAGGGATATGGGGAAAGCCGCCTCTGACCCCACTTCTGACAGACCTCACCATCTGGTGAGGCCCCTGAGCTTCGAGGGCCTGTTTCCTACCTGTTGAAAAGGCTATTAGTAATCCCAGCCTGGGCTCGCTCACCAGAGGGGCTCTGATGCGCCTTGAAAACCGCAAAGCACAGCACACACAGAGGTGACAAAGACTCACGGGAAGCTGATGCAGCCTGGACACTTGGCTGGGCCTCCCTGTCGGCACCAGGCCACGAGGGCCCAGAGGGAAGCGGGGACGCCCTTCCTACTGCAGAACCAAACCTGGGGGCCCGCTGTCACAGCTGGGCTCACCAACTCTGCCCTCATTCCAGTCTGGGGCTGAGTGGGGGTGGGGGGCTGGCCAGCCCAGGCTGTTAACTCTGCGGTAAGGGATAGAGCTGAGAAGGCACCCAAAAGCCCCTTGCAGAACTGCCCAGGGCCTAGTTAACAGGTCCTGGGCCAGTCCCACCCAAAAGGGCTGGGAAATCCCCCTCCAGGCTGGGCCTGCAGCCTCGTGGTTCACCAGCCCCCAAGGAATGTCACCCCACGGGTTGAGAAGGCAAGTGGCCTCACCCAGGGTGACTAGCAAACTGTACCAGAGCTGGACTGGAAGTCTGCTCTCCAGGGACCAGACAGGAGCTCCTTCCAGGATCAACCATGCTAGGGTTTCGACTTAACACCCTAATTTAGCTCCTTACGGATCTTCTTCTCTGACTCTACCTGAAACGTTGAGGGCAGGGCTTAGGTCTTTTTAATACAGCACCAACCCCAGCACAGACCCTGGCCTAGGGTTAATAATGCCAGCAACAGGGCGGAGCCACAGACCCCCCCCCCCCCCCCACGAAGTCCATCTCAGAGAAAGAGGCTGGGGTCCATCCTTGTAGGTGGGGAGACTGAGGCACAGCGAGGGAGCCTGGGAATGGAGCCACGATCGCCCCTGCCCCCCAGCCTGAGGCTCTGCCCACCATTCTGGCATTGATCCCTTTTCTCCATTGATAGGCTAATAATAAAAACAGAGTGAAACTTGTCAGTAAAGAAGTACTTGACAAATGCATAATAGTGATAATGATCATAATTAGTGAGCTGGGGATGAAGGAGCTCAAAATCCCCCAGCAGGGAGGAGAGGCTGCAGCTTCCTCAGGCTGCGCCGTCTTCCCTGAATCCTCTTAGGGAAATGCACAAAATGCCAACTTTTTTCCTGCTTCTTTTTTAATAGGGACTCCAGAATCTTCAGGACTAATGTACCAATTAAATGGTTCAACTTAAGCATGATGTTCATTTTAATTGTGTTAGTCCGCCCCCACAACGCAGGGCGAGGCGGCCCCCTCCCTCCCAGCTGTCCTGATCCTGCTCAGACAAGGCGGCGGCCTCCTAAGGGCGCCTGGACCGCCAGAGGGCAAGGCCCGGGCCGCCCTCCACTTTCCCTGGAGAGAGAACAGTGCAGGCAGTGCCAGCCCGTGGGCACCGTATGCACAGCCTGGGTTCAAATGCCAGGTCTGTCCCCTTGTTTCTGGCCATGGGACGCCGGGGCAGGTCACTCAACTTCTCTGAGCCTCACTGATTCCTCCTTCAAATGGGAATAAAAGAAGGACCTACCCTCAGAGGGCTGTTGTGGGGACTGAGCAGGCTAACGAGGTATGGGGTTTGGCACACGGAAAGTGACCGATAACGTTAGGTGTAGCTGTTCATCAAGACTTTACGGAGCAGAGAACGGCAGTGAGCACCCCACCCCGTCACCGAGGGTGGCACGCAGCGTCTGACCTCACTGGTGGGCCAATCAGCATGTGGTACGGTAGGTATACGAGGGAGGTGGTTAAGCAGAGGGTCTGGTAATTATAGGACTCCAGGGACCCTGAGGGGACCTGGCAGAGGCGTCCACGCACCTGGGGCTACAGGACAAAGGGCACTGCTCTCTGCTGGAAAGGCAGAGGCCTGGACTCAGCAAGCTGGGGAGATAAGGTGGGCCTGGTCCCAACCTTAGGGGGAGTCTGGGGAGGCCGCGGGTGCAGCAGAGCATGTGAATGCGTGCCATGGGCGCCAGAGTGAGGTCCCGGACATGCCTGCTGGATTCTGACAAGCCCCACAGAGAAGGCTCCCGGTCCCAGACAGCAAGCGGGGATGTATCGGGAGCCAGGGGACCAGCATCCGGCCCTGCCTTGTCTTCTTATGGGTCATGAGAATTTGGGGAATGGACTTCAACTCACTGGGCTTTGATTCCTGATGCATCCAATGGGCCACAGCACGTGCCCTCCCGCAGGAACAGGCACTCCCATCAGGCAGCGCGTTGTGCAGGGATGCAGGAAGGAGGACTGCTACCCTGCTTGCTTCCAGGGCAGATACCTGGGCCTCAGGGTGGTCAGGGTGTGCCCGGGGTCACAGAACTGGCAGCTGGGAGAACCAGCACTGACCCTCCACCGTTTGGCTCTGAAGACTGGATGCTCAGTGATGCCCCGTTGCCTACCTCCCAGGGTTACCGTGAAGATGAATGGCTCAACCAGGAGACCGTGAAGTGCTGTTTAAATGGCAAAGGTCTGCCCTCGCAACCCCTCAGGGGCCCGCTGCCCTGAGTCTGCAGTGTCCCAAAGAGAAGGAAAGGCCTACCTGGCTGGCCGGCAGCTCCTCGTCGCTGCTCTCCGAGGAGCCCTCTGTGTTCTTCTCTGGGGGTGCTGGGGCCAGGGGCTTGCTTCTGGCAGCTTTGGAGTTACCCTCCTTCTGAGGGGACAAGCACATGGGTAGGAGGCAGGGGGTGTTAGCTGAAGGGGAACACGACTGAGAGACTGGGGCAGGGAAACCACGGCCAGCGAGCAAGCATGCCCTTGTATGCTGGCTGTCCACGGGAGGCAGCACGGCCCCTTACTACCCGCATGGGAGGACAGCTGCTGGCTCAGCATGCCCCCGGCCACCGGAAACACAGCCTTCCCCTCTGCTAATGCTCCCTCCAGAGCCCACTCTGAACTTGAAAGGGAAGTAGGAGTCAGACCCCACTAAAACCTGAGGGCTGCAGTGCTGGTGGCCCGGCGTCCAGATGAGAGGAGACAGCAGCTTGGGACAAGGCTGCAGGGGTGAGCCAGTGGTAGTGGTCCCACCGTGCTCACATCTGGCTGCAACACCCCCAGGTAAGAGCAGGAGCCAGCCAGAAGTGTCCCAAGGCTGCCACCCCTCCTGCCGGACCAGGCATAAATGAGGGGGGCTGGCTGGGCAGGAGCTGCGGTCGGGGAGCCAGAGGAGGAGAGCACGGAGTAGCAGGCACTGGTGGTGACCAGCTCAGGGGAGCCCAGGGCAGGGGCAGAGTCCCCCCCCCCTTCACTACTCAGTCCGGCCAAGCAAAGTGGCAGAGCCGCCTATGCTGCCCGAGTCCAATTTCTCAAGAGCAGCTAGGAGATCCTGATTTGTGTCATTTCCTACACCACAACAGCTGTGCCCCCGACTCTGCTCTGCTAGCGCCCCCCCCCCCACCCGCTCACCAGGCTCTGGGGACGGCGGCCCCCTCTCCTAGCCAATCACAGAACCACAGGCCCCTTATCAGGGAGCGGCCTTTTTTTTGGCGGGGGAAGCACATGTCTTAGATGTGGACAAGGAGGTGAGGGGAAGGGAGGTCTGCTGGGGGACTTCCTAGCTCTTCCGGAGACGCTGCAGCCCTGCCATGGCAGGGAGCAGAAGATGGAAGAAATCTGGGTCACCCATGACGCAGAGCTGAAGGAACCACCTGGAGCAGCTTTACCCCAAAGCTTTGTGCACCATGATGGGACCAATCTCCTTTAAGCTCTTGGAATTAGGTTTTCTCCCGCAGATTGGGATGTCCTGATCCAGGAACCCACTTAAAACTTAAAAAACAAAAACAAACCAAAATACTGCTATGTCTAAACATGGCTGGGACCCTTGTGTCTTAGTCTGGCATTAGGCCCCCATACATGTGACTGGTGACAAGCAACTAGAAGTGACTATTGCCTACAGGGTGGCTGGCCTTTGTGGAACCCACGTGACTTCACATTCCCTCCCCTTCGCAACCCCCCGCCCGCCCCGGAGGGCCTAGCTCCGCTTGTCTGGTGAACCCCTGGTCTTCCTTTAAGCTCTGCTCAATCATCTCTTCTGGCCTCTAGAGACGTGTTCTCCCAGCTCCATCAGACAGAGCACTACCAGAATATTCTCCAATAATCCACTACTTCACCTTGCCCTACTGACTACAGGCCCCATGAGATGAGAGCAGGGCCAACATCTTTCATCCCTTTATCTCCATCCGCGAGATGGAGCGCTCGTAGTTGGTCTGTGCACTGAAGGCAGAGGTCAGTGCTAGGAGCACTTAACAAACTTCTTGGTGCTTGTTTTACTCCTGAAGAAAACAGAAACCTAAGAGGGGATGAAGCTCGGCCTGGCACAGGGACTTCCAGCTTCCCTTAAGAAACAAACATGTGGCCACATGCGGTCATAATCAGCTGCTGGGGCTGACAGGGACCATCTTTCTAGCTGGGACCAGAACTCTCCAGTTTGCCCTAGCTGCCACCACCTTCTACTGCCTCTCCTGACACCAAGGCTCAACGGTGGCTACGAGGCCATCACACACGGGAGCCCTCTATGTCCTGGAGTCTGGCTCCCTGAACTTCTGCAGGCCGAAGCCACTCCTGCTGCCTTCCACACACAGACAGAAGGGAAATCGTCCACGTAGAAGTCGGTCCCTCATCCCCTCCCTCTCCCCACTCCCTAGGCTTCACCCAGCTGAGCTCTCCCTGGGGTCCCAGGCCCAGATGAGGGAGGGGACTTCCTCTAGCTCCCCAGCACCTCCTGGTACCTGTATCGCAGCCCAAGCCTCCTCAAGACTCCCTGTGACATCCTGAGATCCTTGGCCTCACTTACCTTGGCAGGAGTTGCTGGTCTAGCCTTCTGTGGGGCTGGTGTGTCCACTCGTGCTGTGGAGGCCTCGGCAGAAACAGGAGTGCCCGGGACACCTTTCATCAGGGAGGCCTTGGCTGGGGGGAGCTTTACAGCAGGTTTCACCTAAAGAGACACAGAGGACAGCGGCTGGGGTAAGGGTCCAGGAGTCATGGCTTTCATCTGGTCTTCCTTCCTCACCTGGCCCTGAACCCAAGTCCTGCGCGAGGAGTGGGCGGCGACGGCTCAGAGGCCTAGTGTCGTAGCGGCTTCCTCATTAGGCCTCACCTGGGCCGGCGCCTCCTCCTCGCTGTCCGACTCCTCCTCACTGCTGCTCTCCGAGGCCTCCTCCGGCTTCCCAGCCCGGGTGGCTGTGGCTTCTGTCTTCTCGGGAGGGGCTGCTGCAGCCCCTTTCCTGGAGAACCCCTTGCCGGGGGCTGAGGCAGTTCTGACCTGGGGGGTCTTCCCTGAGGGCTTCACCGGGAGTGAGAGCAACAGAATTAGGGGAGAGAGCCACAGGGACCACAAGAGCTGCTCTCCACTCTCCCCGGGGCCTCACCTGAGTGGGGGCCTCCCCGTCACTGTCCGACTCCTCCTCGCTGCTCTCCGAGTCCTCCGGTGGGCTCTTGACTGGCCCCGGCTGGGCCTGCGCTGCAGTGGCCACGGCCTTCCCCGCAGTGGCCACGGCCTTCCCCACAGCTGGCACGGCCCCCCGGCCCCTCACCGAGACGGCACTGCTCTGGGGGGCTCTCGCTGGCGGCTTTACCTGAATGTGAGAAGGTAGCAGCATTAGGGAAGGAAGCAGACAGCACGGTTCCATTTAGGTTAAGCCCACCCACGGTGTGACTGTGCGGAAGTCTCTCCTGCCTGTGCAGGGCCCTGGCTAGGCTGAACCAGCTGCGTGCTCCTCCCGAGCTCCACCCCCCTCCGGCTCCTGGGCTTCTGGTCCCACTTGCCTTGGCCGGGGACTCCTGCTTGGCTGGAGCAACGGCAGTGACCACTTTTCCCGGAGCTGATGCTGCCCCTTTGGCTGAAGCTGCTCTGGTGGGAGCTGGGCTGGCTTTGCTCTGAGGAATTTTCACTGAGGCCTTCACCTGGAAGGAGAAACAGGAATTATGGAAGGGAGAAGGTGAGATGCAGCAGAGTGGTTAGCCAAGAACGCCGGTTCTGGAGTCAGCTGCCTGAGTGTGGATTCTTGCTCGTCCATTTAATAGCTGTGTGAACCTGGGCAATTCACTGACCTCTGTGGCCTCAGTTTCCTTCTCTGTAAAATGGGGCTAACAACAAGGCTCACCCACAGGGTTATCACGAGGATTAAATGGGAAAGTCACAGTGTTTAGCATGGTGCCTGGCACATAAACTCATTTATTGTGAGCACTTTTCTTAGTGTTAGCTAAGCAGGAGCCTACCCAAGGCAGAGGTATTTTCCAGGCTCCCTTTTCAGCTAGGCAGCCATGAGTTTAACTTCTGGCTAACAGAATGGAAGTCAAGTATACAATTCAACTTTCTTACACAGGTAGAAAACATGGGTCTTCTTCCTCCCAGCTGGAAGAAATGCTGAGGTAACAGCTGGAGCTCTAGCAGCCATCTTAGCGTATGAGGCAGGAGCCAGGTACTCAGGATGGCAGAATAAGACAGAAAACCATGGCTGTTTGAGGTTTTCTTCAGTTTAATCTAATCTTAACTGATATCCAAAGGATCCCCCAAGCCCTCTCGGGGTATCCAAGCAAACACAGACCTAGATAGATGAGGGCAACAAAGAGTAAAATCTTTGACAGTGAGATTGCTGACAGGAGTGTGAAAGCAAACCGGGCTAATGTGAAGTAGAATGAGGAATCTGGCAGTGTCTCTAGGCCCCTGCCTCATTCAGAGATGCCATCTGATCAGTGACTTCCCCCATCCACACGAGACCAAGTGAAACTAAGAATCAGCATGTCAAGAAAGAAAGCCCTCTAAAGCACAGACTGTGTCTGGCTAAGGTCAAGGTGCTCATCAGCATAGAAAAGTCATCCAGAGGGGAGCAATGTCTTTTACATTCACTTAAGAAAACAGAAGACACCAGCACTAAGTTGACCTCACAAGTCTCAATACAGTATAAAATGTAACTGACTCAAGAAACAAAAAAACCTGAACAGACCAATAATAATTTTCAAAATTGATTTAGTAATTAAAAATCTTCTTCCACACACAAAAAATCCAGGCCCAGGTGTCTTTTTTTGGTGAATTCTATTAAGGAAGAAATAATACCAATCCAACATAAACTCTCAGAAAACAAAGGAGAGAATACTACCAAACCCATTTCAGGAGGCCAGTATCACCCGGATACCAAACCCAGGCCAAGACGTTACACAAAAACTACAGACTAATACTCCTGGTGGATATAGACACAAAGACCTTAGCAAACCAAATCCAGCAACAAAGAAAAGGGAGCATGACCAAGTGGGATTTATTGCAAGAATGAAAGGTTGATTTAATACCTGAAAATCAACTAAGTGCAATATAGTGCATTAACAGAACAGGAAAAAAACAGTAAGATCACTTCAACCGAAAAACGCATTTGACAAAAATTCAACTCCAACTCATAATAAAAACTCAACAACCTAAGAACAGAAAAGAACTTCCTTGGGGTACCCGGCTGGCTCAGTCAGTGGAGCATGTGACTCCTGAACCTATGGTTGTGAGTTCAAGACCCACATTGGGTGTAGAGCTTACTTAAAAATAAAATCTTAACAAAAATAAAAACTTCCTCATACTGATAAAGGGCATCTTTTAAAAACTTAGAGCTAAAATCATACTAAACAGTGAAAGACTGAACACTATACCCTAAATGAGAAAACAAGGCAAGGGTGTCTGTTCTCACCACTGCTACTCAACATTGTACTGGAGGACCTAGCCAGGGCTGTAAAGCAAGAAAAAGAAATAAACGCCATCTAGATTGAAGAGGAAAAAGTAAAACTGTCCTTATTCACAGACAACATGGTTTGTATATAGAAAATCCCAAGGAATCTACAAAAGCCAGGAAAACAGGTAAGCAAATGTAATATCGTAAGATGTAAGGTCAACAGGGACGCCTGGGTGGCTCAGCTGGTTAAGTGCCTGCCTTCAGCTCAGGTCATGATCCCAGGGTCCTGGGATTGAGTCCCGCATTGGACTCCCTGCTCAGTGGGGAGCCTGCTTCTCCCTCTGCCTGCCTCCCCACTGCTTGTGGTCTCTGACAAATAAATAAAATCTTAAAAAAAAAAAAAAAAAAAAAAAGTACGGTCAACATACAACACAAGGTCAGGCCCGAAAGGCACCGTACCACTTATTCAGCCAATCGTGACACGCTGACTGACCATCTCTCCCATCCCTCTCACACAAGGGCTCTCTTCCTATGGCATTGCAATGGAGAATCACCTCCTTCTCAGGCTCCGGCACATCTGGTTTTCCAGAACCAGTCCTGTCTTTGTTCCTTTGTTTTGAACCTCAGCTCTCACATGGATGGTTTCCTTTGAGCTGGCTGGGGTCTCTGAGCAGACCAGAGACTATCTGACTCACTTGACCCCAGCAATACTGAGCCGTGTGGGACCCACTGAGTGTGTGCAGACAGCATTTTGAGAGTGAAGCCATACAAGGATTCTCTTATTTCTTCCTCACCAGAACCTCGCAACAGAGGCTTAATTATCCTTATCCTTCAGACAAGACTCCTATCAGAGCCGCCTGTCTCGGTGGAGGCAATTCAGACCTCTTGAAGCTGGGCAAGGCCCCATCTTCTGACAGGGCATCAGGCTATAAAGCTGCTCCCCTAGAGAGGGATTAGCTGCTTTACTTTGCACCTTGGAAGAATGTAAGACCCCAGAGCATAATCATGTCTGTGGTTGGAAAAGTTTGGGCCAAGATATAGCAGAAGGATGTGTGAAAGTCAAGGCTTTTGAGGCAGACACACTGGGGCCCCGGGCCCAGCTCGGACCCTCATTGGCTGGCTGGGCTGAAGCAGGTCAGCAAACAACTCTTCTAAGCTCTAATTTCCTCCTCCAGAAAGCAAAGCAAATGAACACCCGTCTAATGGTACTGGTGGGAGGCTCAGATGGGAAGACAAATACTTAAGCCATAAAGCACAATGAAACTTTTCAGGCCAAAGTCTGGGGTGTGTCTATAGCTTACAAACGGGATAGGAGCTGCTGGGCTGGGACTCCAGCAGGGCCCACACGCAGGTCAAAACCTCACTAGGGGAATCACAGGAACCTGGGTCCCACAACGCAACAGGGAGAGGGGAAAAAAAAAATCCATAGAAAATGTGTGCTTTGGTATAGGGAAAAAAAAGAAATGACTAATTTCTGAGTGGTTATTGGGTGGGTCGGGGGAGAGTGACGATTACAAATAATAAAATGGTGAGTGAGCACAGGGCATGAGCAATCTTCACTTTTTGCAACTTAACTCTTCCAAACGGGGAGGGGACTCCTGATTCTGTTCCCCATTGGCCTGGCCCACCCTCAGGGCGGCAGATGAGCAAGCCTGCAGCGCACAGGCCCCTTGCTGGGCGTGGTAGGTGAGAGCTCGTTACATTCTCAATCCTGTGAAGGTTGATTTCCAATTTATAGAAGAGTAAAACAAAGGCCCTGGATGGAGTCCGTCACTTGCTAGGACACAGAGCTGGGACTTGAATCCAGGCGGTTTGGCTCCAAACCCCTGCCGTCTGCCCCTGCCACACCACCTCCCTCAGTGATCCCACCAAAATGCTCTGCTTGGGGCAGTTCACTCAGGCCAGGCGCTCTCCCACCCTCTGGGCCTTCACACAGGCCAGCTTCTTTGCCTGCAACACTCCACTTCCCCTGGCCGGCTCTCTCAGCCCAGTTCCTGATGCCACTCCCTCCAGGAAACCCCTACACGCTCTCACCAGCCATGCTGTTAGCCCAGCTACGCGCTCTTCTCAGCCTTAGCACACACCATGCTGGAACAACCTGGGCACACATCCATGCCCGCATCTAGACTAGGAACTCCCTGAGGGAGACCGGACAGCGCCTGGCAGATGGGGTGCTCAACAGAGCTTGTGGAAGGCATAAGGAATCCCAATGGGAGCTCAAAAGGCCACGGGGGAGATCTTGCCATCTCTGACAGGTGGAGGAGACAGAGTGAAAAGTGGGGAAGGAGGCTGAGTTGAGGCTGCCCTTGAGGTTTCTGCACACCCGGGGGCGGGGGAGGGGGGAGGGGAGGGCAAGAGCAGCCCAGAAAAGCCTCTCCTCAGCCCTGCCCCAGGCTCTGGTGTGGCTGGGATGGGCTGGGCCTTCCTCGGCCTCACCTGGGCTAGAGCTTCAGCCGTCTCCTCACTGTCAGAGTCCTCCTCACTGCTCTCGGAGGAGTCTTCCTGAGCCTCAGCTTTGACCAGGGCCACTGCAGGCCCTGCCTTCCCAGGGGGTGCTGGGGCAGTCCCTTGGCCTGAGGGCCCCTTGGTGGGTGTGGAAGCAGCTTTCAGGGTGACACCTTTCCCTACAGGCTTTGCCTGGAATGACAGGGAAGAGAAGCAGGTCGCAGGTGCCCCAGGGGCCACGTGAGCACTGGCCCTGAGTCAGCTGAATAAACTTGGCCTCACCTGTCCCACGACTGGGGTAGGAGCGGGGTCCTCCTCACTCTCGGACTCCTCGCTGCTTGAAGAGTCCTCTGGCCTCTGGGTGCCCCTGGCCATAGCTGGGGATGAGGTGCAGGCTGGAGAAGTTGCTGCTCCCGCCTTCCAAGGGGCTGGTGTGCCCACTCGAACCGGGGGGACCTTGGCAGGTGCTGGGGTAATGGGAGTGCCCTTCCTTGGGGAGGCCTTGGTGAGGGGTGTTCTCACAGCCGGTTTTGCCTGAGAGGAAGCAGAAGTTAGAAGCTAGAGAAGGAGCCTGAATTCAGAGCCCCCATCTGCTCTGGGGTGGAGCCCTGCTGCCATCCTTCCCCTCTGCTCCCTGGGGAGCTGACTGGTGAGGGTGGTGAGGTCAGGCTGCAGAGCAGCCCCTCCTGGGCCCTACCTGGGCTGGAGCCACGGCTGCAGGCGCCTCCTCTTCACTGTCTGACTCCTCCTCACTGCTCTCTGAGTCATCCTTGGACCCCTCGGCCTTGCCCTGGGTGGCCACAGGCCCTGCCTTCCGAGGGGGCCCCTTAGCAGGACCTGAGGCAGCTCTGACCTGGAGGATTTTCCCGGAGGACTTTGCCTGCAGTGAGACACACAGGATCAGGGGAGGGAGTGGAGAGCATGGCTGTGTGCAGAGAGACAAACCGAGAGGGCAAGCAAAGTCAGTGTGTGTGTGTGGGGAGGGGGGGTGCTCCCGACACTGATGGGGAGAGAAGAGTCTTACAGGCAGGGGCCTCACCTGGGCCGGCGCCTCCCCCTCGTTGTCTGATTCCTCCTCGCTGCTGCTCTCAGAGCCCTCCTCCTGCTTCCCTACTGGGGTGGCTGCTGGCCCCACCTTCTGAGGGGGCCCCTTGACAGGACCCGAGGCAGCTCTGATCTGGGAGTTTTGCCCCACAGGCTTTGCCTGGGAGTAACAAAAGACAGGATCAGGGCAGGGGCCCACAGGGGACTGCGTGTGAGGGGAGACAGGCGGGGAGGAATGCAAATGCAGGGTGCAGGGCCCCAGGTATGGAGGGGGAAGAGAAGCCGACAGATGGGCTCTCCAAGCAGGGGCACCTGCAGCCTCACCTGAGCAGGGCTCTTGGCTGGGGGCACAGCTGCTGGGGCCTCCTCCTGGCTGTCAGACTCCTCAGTGCTCCTCTCTGGGTCTTCTTCCCCCTTCCCCTTCCCCACCTGGGAGGCTGCAGGCCCTGCCTTGCCAGGCGGCACTGGAGGAGCCCCTTTCCTAGGGGACTCCTTGGCAGAAGCTGAGGCAGCTTTGACCTGGGGGGTCTTCCCTGAAGGCTTCACCTGAAGGGAGACAAATGGAATCAGGGAAGGGAGCCCAGAGAGTGGACATGAGGAGGAGACACAAGAGACCGGACAGGGCAAAAGACATCACACATACCCCAGGGGAGAAGGGGTGGGGCTCTGAGCATGTCTAGGGCTCTTGCAGAGGGCAGAACAAGTCCGCAGAAGGCCTTCAGGGGAGGGGCGAGGGCTGCACGGACTCTCCCTCCCCAGGCCTCACCTGAAGTGGCATCTTGGCAGCTGGCGCCTCCTCCTCGCTGTCGGACTCCTCCTCACTGCTGCTCTCCGAGTCCTCCTCTGGCTTCCCTGCCTTGGCCTGGGCAGCTGCAGGCCCTGCCTTCCCAGGAGGTGCTGGGGTGGGCCCTGTCCCAGGGGTCCCCTTGACAGGACCCGAGGCAGCTCTGACCTGGACAATTTTCTCTGAGGCCTTCACCTAGTAAAAGAGAAAGGGTGGTTTGTTCCTCTCCTCACCCTCTGGTAGTACCTTCAGGACAAAGCGGAGGCCTTAGTTGGGGCTCACAAGACGCCCCCGCTTCTCTCCTCACGCTCTACCTTGACTGGTGCTCAGGCCTGGCCTGTCAGCTTCTCTCTCTCACTCCTGGGGCCTTCACAGCCCTGCCCGTCTCCCTAGGTCACCACTGCCTCCTCCTCTGGGTCTGAGACAGACGCCAGTTCCTTTGGCAGTCCTCCCTGAGGCCCCTGCACTGCTCCCAAAGTTGCCCGTACACAGGGGTCAGGGCCTCCCTCGGCCAGGCTCCCCCGCTGGGAGAGCTCTGTGAGCACAGGCACCAAGTCTGGCTTGGCCCACTTCCGCGCCCTCTGTGTGGCAGGTCCTCGATGTCTCTGTAAGGCCTTCCCTGAGGACTCTATGTCAATTGCGATTCCTACAGCCCAGCCCACCTGACCTTCCTCTTTAACACCCAGCAAAGTGAACCTTACTTACTGCCTCTCCCCTGATCATCCAGACCTGGGCCTAACCTGGCCAGCTCAGGGCTGCGGGGCCTTTTCCCACCACTATCTGATGCTTTCCTCCTCCCGGCTCTCCGGCCCCCCCAGCCCCACTGCTTTCCCTTCAGATGTGCCCAGAGCCCTGGCCACTTGCCCAGGGGAGGGGATCCCAGCAGATGGAAGTTAACAGGATTCCTGTTAGCTAACAAACCATAATTTGGCCCGAGAAGCCAGACAACCAGGCAATTAAAACTTAAGTCCCTTCACAATAGGGCCAGCTGGCCACATCCCATTCACTAGACAAGGAAGCTGAGGTAAAGGGGTGTTACTGACAGAGTGGGGTGCAGGACCATCCTGTAGGAAGCAGCCCTTCTAGGCTGCTGGTTGGGCAGAAAGGGCAATTTCCACAGGTGGCTGACGCAAGCCCAACTGTCCTTGCCCTTCAATTTTCACACCTCCACCTCCTGCTCCCCAAACCCTAAGGTGAGTCTTATCTGGCAGAGGAGGTGCTCATCATGTAGCCATTCGGCCAGCCTCTGCTGGCCATGGAAGACTCCCTGGCTGCTGGGGGATGCGGGACGCTGAGGGGTAGTCCGCCCCCAGGACTCACCTGGTGGGGTGGTTCCGCAGGGGCCCCCTCCTCACTCTCAGACTCCTCTTCACTGCTCTCTGAGTCCTCTTCCGGCTCCTTGGCCTTGCTGGCTGGGGTCAGAGCACCGCCTCTGACTTGGGGTGTCACATCCCCTGCCTTCCCAGAGGTTGGGGCTGCCCCTCTCCCGAGAGAGTCCTTGGCAGGGGCTGGTGAGGCTTTGACCTGGGGCGGTTTTACTGAAGGTTTCATCTGGAACAAGAAAATGCGATTAGGGAAAAACTAATCATCTTTGCCTCTGAGGGGTAGGAGAGGCTTTATGGTTTATAAAGTCCTTTCCTTGTATCATCTGATTCTCAAATCCCCGAGACAGATGCTATCTTTACACTCATTTTCCAGAAAAGGACAAGAAGTTCAGGGAGGTTAAGTCATTCAAGACCATATGAAGGGCAAAGTCATGACTAGAACCCATGTCTGTGTGGCCTTGGGGGCAGAACCCTCAAACACTATACTCCTCTGCCACCTGGAGGCTCACCCTGTCCGCCCCTTCGACTACAGTATCTGATCGTGGTGGCCATCCCAAGGGCCAGGAGGCCAGGATTAGAACTCCAGTCTCACCACTGGCTTGTTCGGGCACATTCCTCTCCTCTATGGGCTCTTTCTTAGACTTCTAAAACTCTGACATTTCCAAGGCAGGCAGTGCCCTACCTCCACCTCCGTCATCAGATTTCACCTGACCCTGGGTTCCCGGGACAGCCATCTCCTCAATCACAAACTCCTCACTACTGTTAGGGCCCTGTGCTGGCCTCTGGCCCACTGAAGCTGTGTGTCTGACTGCTGGCTTTCCGGGGCGCCCTGATGGCTGTAGCCAGGTGAGGATGGGATGTGGGGAGTGGCCCTCGGCCAGGCCTGGGGTAGACAGGAGGTTACTGGGTGAGGCAGGAAGCAAGGGAGAAGTACTCTGGGCACCAGATCAACCCTCCCGCCCCGACTCCTGCTGGTTCTCCCTCCACAGGCCCTTTCTAGTAGGCGCCCTGGCGCCTGCCACCAGCCTCACTCCGCCAGCTTCAACGGTCTTGCTACTTTCCCTCTGCCCTGTCCTCCAACCCAGGCTACGACCAGCAACCTTTCTCCAACATAAATCAGGCCACCTTACCTCCATGCCGAAAACTTTGAGATGGCTTCTCACAGAGCCTAGAGTACAACCCAAACTCCTGCTGGCCCTCATGGTCTGGCAGCAGAATGGGGCCCCTGCCTACCTCTGACCCTTTTTCTGTAACTTGCACCTCGTCTACGGCGCCACATCCTTGTTGCTACCCCTCAGGGCTCTCTACATTTCCCCTAGCAACCTTCAGCACTGCAGTCAAACTTCTGAGGACCCCTCCACGTCCCCACGGCAGCAGGAATCATGCACTCCTGCCTACCACTATATTCCCAAGGCCCAGGTGCCCCATAAAGAAAGACTCCCTGGTCACAGCTCAGAGAAGAGCTAAGGCCACAGACTAACACCTGACCATCTGACCATCTCTGACCACGTGCCCAGAGCCCCTCACCCATCTCACCTGACCACACCACGGGACGGCCACCCTCCTGCCCCTGGGCCTTGGCTCGTGCAGCTCTTCCTGCTTAAACACTTTCCCCCACATCCCTTCCTGGGGAGTCCCCTGTGTGTCGAGGCCCTGCTCCAGTGCCACCTCTCCCAGGAAGGCTCCCCTTGTCCTACAGACAGGTTGGCATCTCTCCCCGCCAACCCGAAACCTCTCTCATGCCCAAGGTGCGATGAGCAGCACCTGGCTCCCCTCCCCAGGCCTCGGCCTTTCCAGCTCCCAGTCCCCCTGAAACACTGGCTGAACTGACTTGGCCCCACTGGTGTGCGAAGCCCCGGCCAGGCTCTGGGAGGGCTAGAGGTTTGCAGAGGGCACCTCCTGAGGATGGTGGCCATTACCTCCACGTAGGTCTCATCGCTCGAGCTGGAGGTCTCCTCGCTGGAGCTGTCGGCCTGGTTGGCTGATGCCATTCCTGAGGGAGGAAGAGGGAGAGGACTGAGGGCCTGCCCTTCCAGACTCCCCTCCCCTCGCCAGCACTCTGCCACGCCAGCCAATGAGAGGCAGGTGCCCTGGGCTCACTTCTCGTGTGCGGAGCTTCTGCACCACCTATCCCGAAACCCCACAGCTGAGGTGCATGCCACTCGTATCCCTGCGCTGCCACACTCCTTTGGCCCTGGGAAGCGTTAGACTAGGTCCTAACACACACAAGCCAGCGTCTGATGGCTCAGAGATCTCCTTCCATCATCATCACACTGAGGCAGGCAGGCAAACGCCTATTTGACATGAGAAACTGAGGCAAACCCAGGCCTCTCACTTTAGCCTCAGCCTTTCCAGTGGGCCCCAGACCCACCTGAGAGCAATAAACCAGAAAATGTTCCCCCACCACCCAGGCTGCTCCAGCTCCCTTGGCAAAGCCTGACGTGTCCCTGCAGCAGACCCTCCCTCATCGAGGTGCAGAGCCCTTACTGCCATGGAGATAAACCTCTAAATTCCAGAATGTCCCAGAGCTGGATAGAGCAGTGCCCGGGGCCTGCCTCCCCAGCCCAAACTCAGGGGGCTTCGCGTCTAGAGGTCAGCACTGCTCACCAGGCTTGGCCGTGGTTCCGAGGGCCGGGACACTGCCCTCCTCCTCAGTTTCTGAGACCAGGATGGTATTTGCTGAGGGCCCTGCTGACTTCCTGGGGGACCTCCCAGACAGAAGGTGGGCCACTGCCTTTCCAGAGGCCGGATGTGGTGTGGAGTTCACCATCTGGCTGGCTTTCTTGGTCTTTGCCTACAAAGGACAGTGGTGACAGACATGCCGGGTGTGGCCTGGTGAATGACAAGCACAGACCCCTTCCTAGCCGTGAGAGTTTGGGCAAATTCCCTCCCTCGGTCTGTTTCTTCATCTTTAAGGTGGGGCCGACAGCGGTACCTGCCCTCACAGAGGCATGGAGAAAGCCCAATTACAGTTCCTGGGACACAGGAGTTACTTGCTAAGTGGTAACGAGCGGTCAGCTGTGGTTCCTAGCACTTTTTCGCATTGCTGCCAGCGGGCCAGGCAGCTCGGGGACGCAGCTCAGCGTCCTTGTGTGTCCGATGCTGCATTATGGACTACCAGCACATGGTATTCCTCTCTAAGTGGTTTCAGTCTAGAAAATGAGCTTCGCGCTTTCAGAACCATAGGTGTCTTATTCACTGTGGTGGCCCCACTGCCTCCCACTGTGGCTGGAAAGTAACTGGATGGGTCACAAGTTGTTAGCTGAACAGGAGAATGCGGGGATGATGGGCGGAAAGAAGCTGTTACAGGTGCATACTGTGCCCAGGGGCCCAGAGCAGTGGGCACTGTTCCCACCTTACAGAAAAGGAAACTGAGGCCCAGAGAGGTGAAGGGACGTGCTAGGATCACACAGCTGGTGACAAAGGCTGACATTTGAATCCAAGTCAGTCCGTTACCCACAACCCTATCCTCCTCTGACGCAGGGGACTGTCCCCTGTAGGGCACTTCACTCCCATAGGCCACAGCTTGGAAGGTGGACCTACTCACCTTGGCTTTTTCTTTTGCGCTTGATGGCAAAACTGGCCCCGCCACTGAGGAGTTGGTAGACGCTAGTCTTGGGGCTGCAAGACAGAAACACCCGCGGGATGAGCCAGATGAGCTTTTTCTCATTAAGAACAGCCAACAGGTCTTGGCTCACCTGACAGTTCAACTGGTATGGCTGTCTGGTGCTGGCGCGAGGACCTGAGGCTGAGCCCAGACTTGTGGAAAAGAGCTCCGCGGTGCAGGAGCCCCAGCCAGAAGGAGCAAGAGGGCAGGGAGACGTGAAAGCCACCGGTCCGAGTCCCCCAGGGAGTCCCGACTCCCTGCTGGCATGAGAAACTGGTGGTCCCAGAGAAAAGGGCTGGCTCACAGGCATGCTGCATACCTTGGTGGCCCGGCCCAACTTCAGGGTGGGCCAGCCTGACAGGTGACCACACTACAGCCCGAGAGTCACGCAGCAGGATGGGGGCAATGGTCAGCCAGCCTGCCCCCAGGGCCACAGAGAAAGCTGCTTGGGATTTCAACGGTTTCTAGCGGAAAGGCAGCTGAACCATGGGCCCGGGAACTGGTCAGATGTTGAGACTCACAGATTCCTGGTGCTCTTACACCAGGAGACTGTCTCCCCAGATCTCAGACAGGACAAGATTTCTAGGGTGTGCTGTGAATTAGAGAGGACACTCTGGAGATGAAAGCATTGGTCTAATTCCCTTCCTGGCATTTAACTCCATCTCCCTCTCTTTTTAATTTTAGATACGTTTGTAAGTGGAGAGGAAGTACAGCGAACCACACAGCCCCAACCATTAGCAACTTGTGGCCAATGTGATGTCACCCAGCCTTTCTGGTATCAAGTATGATTCTGAAGAGAATGCCAGACATTGTACCACACTGCCCACAAATATTTCCATATGCTTCTCTCAACGGGGACTCAATTATGATTCTGTTATCACCGGAAAAATTCATAAAGTATCACTAAATAAAAATCCATTAATATAAAAAAAAAAATCCATTAATATCAAATATCAGTCACTATGAAACTGACCAATTTTTGTGTTACAAAGTATGTAGATATGGATGTGTGCACGTATGGACGGCTGTCTGTAGGACTAGATGCAAAGGGGAGAGCTGTAAAGCTACCCACCAGGATACATTTAGGGGGGAAAACGGAACCAGGATAGGAGAACAGAAAACCTCTCATTTTTCTTCCACATGCTTCTGTATGGTTCAAAGTGAACTTGTTTTGCAACTGTAATTTTAAAAGATTAAGAAAGATATAAGATATATATTCAATATGATCTTGAATATTTTTGAAAACAGGCTCAGGAAAAATAAATGGAAGAATAATTTGCCAAATGGTAGGTGGCAAGAGTATGGGTAATTTTTTTCCTGCCTTTTTAACCAGTCATTTTCATATATCCTATAATGAACAGTCCACAGTGAATCCCAGATTTCTTTGACAATTGGAAAATATACCTAAAATTAAGGAATTAGCTTCTACGTAAGCAAAACCCAATTACCTTGCAGCGAAAAACGACGATTCCTCTGTGGAGTTATAGCTGTATTGGTTAAAGCATGAACTGTCCTGAGGACTTGGGGAGAAGGGGCTGGGCAGGCCTCACGGGGTCACCCCTGCGAGAGCTCTGAAAGCAGAGCGCCCAGGACAGCCTCCCCAAGCCACCTCGTATTCTTCCAGAACAACAGAAAGCACAGCCCCTCTCCCACAGCCCACAGGCCACAGAGAAGGGGTGCCCACCAGCTGCCCTCTGAGATCTTTCCAGCAGTTCTTCTACAAGTGTGGGCTTCTTTCCATCTTTATCAGAATCCCTGGGGGCTTGTACCAACGTAGCCACTGTACCCCAAATCAGGCTGTAAGGGCCCAGCTCAGTTTTTGCTCACCACTGGATTCCCAGTCCCCGGCACACAATGTTTGGCACGAGAAAGGCCACAACTAAATATTGCAAGAGGTACGTGAGATGCTTCCAATTTTCTCTCTAAAAGGTCCTGGTCTTCCCAGGACTCACTGGAGGAGAAGCTGGAGGGGGGCTCTCCCCCAGAACAACCCAATATCCAAAAGCCTACTCCCCAAAGCTGCAGGGCCCTGGGCTGAGCCCCTACAAACACACCGATGGAAGCTCCCCCAGCGTGCAGGACTCTTACTGGCTTTGGTGGCTTCAGCTTCTGCCTCGTCCTCTTCCTCCTCTTCTGAGCTCTCAGAGCTGCTGATGGGGTCTGACACTCGGGTCTTCTTAGCCTGCAGCGCCGCATCCTCCTCTGCCTTCCGCTTCTGACCAACCTCTGAGGTTCTGCAGGACAAGGGTGACTGGCTATACCAACCAGGTGACAAGGACACCTCCAGGAGATTTGAAAAGAAAGACATGCCCCCCGCGCACCCCCTAAGGAAATGTGCATAGAGAGTTTGAGAACATGGTGTAATACACTTGTATTCTGCATCTTCACACATTTCGTAAACTATTAGTCTTCAAAATAGTCAGGAAGGGTCAATAACATTATATAACAATGGCCAACAATCACTGAGTGGGATGAGCCAGCACCTGTAGGCCGTTCATAGAACCATCCAGGCTCCCCCTCCTCCAGAACTTGCAGCACCTGCACTACCCTCTTTCTGGAAGACCCTGCTCAGGTCCTTCCTGTGCTTCAGGACTCAGCGCCAATACAGACTCCTCAAAGGCTCTGCCTGATCGTGCTCCACCCCCGCCAGTCTCTGCCCTGCCATCCTGTTTCATTTTCTTCAGAGCACTTTTCTCTCTTCTGCTATTCTACTTACTTCCTGCCTGACTCCCCAACTACGTAGTCAAACCCCAGGGGGTGGGGGGGGGCTGGCAGGAACCTCTGCTGGCTCACTAAGTATCTTCAGCATGTAGCTTACATCTCAAAAAATGAACAACTAAGTGACTTGCTTAGGGTCAGAGAGCAGGAGGTTTGGAAGTCTGCGGCACGGGCAGGACAAGAACCCATATGGCTGAGTCCCTGGAATGTGCAAGGACCATCTCCTCTGACCTCACCCTCCCACCCCGACAGAGTCACTGTCTATGCCCCGTGTTCTCCAGCTGGGCTAGACGTGCTCTGCCAGTTTGTGGTCCCTTGTTCCTAGGAAGGCCACTTGTTGGGACTCCCCTGAGGTTTCATTTATTACACTTCTCAATTCATTCTGCCCCTTTCACCCCAACAGAATCTAAGTTTCACAAGGGCGGGGATTTTTCTCTGGTCGGTTCCAGATATATCAAGAACAGTTCTGGCTCATAGTAGCTGCTGCTCTATAAATATGGGGGGGGGGGTGCCTCCGATGGCCAGGTTTAGCCCCTTATTTATTATTACTATACTTTACAGATGAAGACACAGACTCAAGGAAGCCAAGTTTGCCCAAGGTCATACAGCTCGTTGTGGGGTTTGAACTTTGCTGAGAACCATTAGACTAGGCTGCCTCTGGTGGGTGTGAGGTCCTCGTTGCATTCAGTACCCCTCACCCACAGAAGGGACCAGTGACAAGGAAGGGGCTCACTGAAGCAGCTCTCTAGGGAAGGAAGTGCCAGACCCCTGGGCATGCTGAAGCGGGTGAGGGAGAGGAAGTGCAGGGTGCAGGGTGTGCACTGCACTCTAACCCTACCTTACAGCAGAGGAAAGCTGAGAACTGAGAGCTGACAGGGCCTTCACAGACCTTAGCTCTCCACTGGAAGCTGGGATCTCTTCCACACCATTCTTGCCTTTGCTTACACACCTCCGATGACAGGAAACAGTAGCCTACCTCATTTTGGGTAGCTCTGATGACCAAGCGCTTATATTCAGAAGCTGAAGACTGTCTCCCTATTGCAGTACATCTGGGTCCCACTTTAGTCTCTCAGAGCCCCAGAGAACGGCCCACTCCCTTTGTCCTCAGAGATGTGCAGACATATCACCTGCCCCTTTGCCATCTCTTGTCCAACCTGGACAGTTCAGTAGTTTCTAATCACTCTTCATGGGACATGACTGCAGGTCCTTCACTCCCGTGGATGACTGTGGTCAGGCCAGTTCACGGAGAGAATGATTATCCCCTCCCTCCCTCTCACACCATTCCTCTGTTGATATGCCCTTGGATTATCCCCCCTTTCCTGTTTCTGCATGTTTCACAGACATTTCACACTCAACATGTCCTCCCCTTCCCTCCATCTCTCCCCCCAAACTGGACTTGCTTCTTGCTTCTTGCTCAGGCCCACCTTCCATGCAAGGGCACAAGCCAGGCACCTGGGAGTCAAGGAGCCCACCCCTCCAGACCATCCACAGCTCCCAGTCTCATCCCCTAATATTCCTGGAATTGACTATCTGATGCTCTACCCCCTCTGTTATTCCTGTCTCAAGCCCCATCGGCTCTTGCCTGGATGATGGTGTCCACAGCCCCAACCAGCCATGCCATCCTGCAGAGTGATCTCACCACTCTCTACTGCACCCTTTCATGGCTCCCACTGCCCTTGGGACAAAGACACAACTTCTCACCATGGACGATGAGGCCTTGCATGGGGTGGACCCTGCGAGCCGTCCAGCCTCCTCTGGCCTGTGGCTGCAGCTACGGCCTCAGCACCACAGTTCCTTCTGCCAGGCCCACTCTACCTGCCTCTCCAGACCTATTGCCTAGTTCTCTCCCCCACTCCCTGCAGCCCTTATACCAAAGGTCACCACAGGGAAACCCCTCCTAAACCCCCAAATGAGGCCCAGCTAACCCGTTTATGGGGTTTTGGCACCAGGTCCTTTTTCATAATTGTTACTACCATTTTAATTTTACACTTATTTGTTTCATTCTTTGAGGCATGCTTACCTCCCTGACTCCAATGTCAGCTCCGGGAAAGAAGGAACCATGTCTGTCTCACTCATGACAGTTATCTCCATGCTTAGAATAGGACCTGGCATTTAGCGGGTAGGTACTCAATAAATGTTTGTTGACTGAATGAGTAACAAGCTGCTGAGCTTTCAAGTGGTCCTTGAAAGCACTGATCTCAGCTTTCAGCGTTCTGTCTCACTATCAGACACCCATACCTGTGACCTGGCTTCTCGGGGGCAATGCCGGTGTCCACAGTGGGCTATGCAGACAGATCGCAGATCAGATTAGAATCCTAGCTTATTTCAAGCTGATGGGTTGGGGTGTCCCTACTCCACTCTTTCAGCCCCATCAGACTTACTGTTGCCAGTGAGTATAGATGTCCATAAGGGTTACAGGCTGAGTCAGGAAACTTTTCTGCAGAGAAGTAAAGAGAAAGCAGCAATTAACCCCCCAGCACAATATGGATCCTCCTTGGGCCCAACTCTCCAAGACCTCACAGGAGACTTTTTGCTCTGGAAAATATGTCTGCTTGGCCCTGTCAGTACCACTCAAACCTTCCAGAGACAAGCAGAGCAAGTACTTGCAGCTAAAAACTTTCTTTTTAATTTTTTTTTTTTAAAGATTTTATTTATTTGCGAGAGAGAATGAGAGACAGAGAGCATGAGAGGGAGGAGGGTCAGAGGGAGAAGCAGACTCCCCGCTGAGCAGGGAGCCCGATGTGGGACTCGATCCCGGGACTCCAGGATCATGACCTGAGCCGAAGGCAGTCACTTAACCAACTGAGCCACCCAGGCGCCCCGCAGCTAAAAACTTTTAAGACAACATGTTAGTGAGAGGTACCTTTGAGATACTGGAGTTAGAATGTTCCAGGCTAGCATTTATCCAGCAGCCCCCAACCTCCCTTGCACTCTCCATGCTTAGAGGCCACAAGACAGAGTTTTTTCCACCCCTGACCTTCCAAAGTCTTTGAAAGGCCAGGTGGGTCAATCTTCTCAGGGCAGTACGAACCACAGCCCAGACACCCAAGGCGTCCAGGTGGCATGACCGCGGTCCATTCATTCGCTGGGAAGAGACTAGAACCAAATGGGCCGGTCCCTTGATAGAAGCAGAGGGAACTGGGTGGAATCCAGCCCTTTGGAGCCAAGGCCAGATGGCCCACTCTGTAAATGTCAAGAACCCAGGGTGTCAAGTGCCCCAGGGAGATCAAGTTAGCAATGTGAGGTGAGGGCAGAATCAGGGATCCGGGCAGAATGGCCAAGAGGCTGCATGTGGAGTCAGGCACAGCTCCTCTGTTAACTGGCTGAGCTAATCTCTTCACCTCTTCAAACTTCAGGCTCTTCTTTATAACACAGGGATAAGAGCAGCACCCACCTAGCAGGATGCTATCAGGCCTGAACAAGATACTCTAGTCAGTGCCCAGCACATGAGCTGATAACACAGACTCCAATTGTCGGTTTCACTCTGCTCTGCCCCAGGCACACTTGCTTCCTCACTGGCCCTCAAAAGTGCTGCTTTTCTTTCTGCCTGGAATGCTCTCTCCTGCTAACTACATAGCTCATTCCCTTACTTCCTTAAGGTCTCTGCCTTCTCAGAGGTGAAATGTCAGGTGAAATGTCACCTTCTCAGTGGGGCTTCCTGATCACCCTATTTATAACTGAACCCTGATATTCTTTATCCTCCTTGCCTGCCTTACTTTTATAGCTAACACCTATGATCACCTAACACACTACATCATTAACCTTTTCTTTTTTTTTTTAAATATTTGTCATCTGTCTGCTCCTGCTACACTGTATGCTCCATGAGGCCAAAATACTTTGGCCTAGACAAATGCCCCAGTGAAGATGGGTACTGTCTCTTACCCCACTTACCCGTTAAGTGACCTAAATGGAGTAAGAAGGCAATCAAGGTCCAGAGAGGGTTGAGAAAAACTAGGATAATGTCTTAGGGCCCATCACCCTTCAGGGAGATCCTGGGAGCAAGCATCAGGACCAGAGCCTACACCACAGCCAAAGGGGTGACTAATCAGGTCAATATCCACTTTACCAGCTTTAAACCCTCCAGTGGCTTACCACTGCTCTTCAAATAAAGCCCAAACTAACTACAGTAGGGCTCTAGCTAGCTCCCTACCTACTGTCACCCTGTACTCCACGCTTCAGCCACAGTGGACTTCCCAGAGGCCAGTACAAATGCAACAAGTTCCCTCCCACCACAGAGCATTTGCACCTCTGCCTGGAATATCCACTTTCCTTCTCTCAGGTCTCAAATCAACATCCACTTCGCGGGGAAAGCAGTCCTGGATATCCCTGACATGGGCAATTTGCCATTCTGTCTTATCACCCTATGTCTCTCATTCTTGGCACCTAATGTGTTAGGTGTACAGTTACTTTTGTGATTCTTTGCTTTATGTCCACTTCCCCTACTAGATTTAGAATGTAAACCCTAGGAGGGCTGGGGGACCGTGCTCAACATTCTATCACCAGCACCCTGAGCGCCAGAGTTGAGTGCTGAAAAAAATGAATGAAGTAAGCAATGACTCCACCACAAGCTCGCAATCCAAAGCTGTCTGACCCACTAGGGGAGGGATGAGGGCCGGAGCTTCACCTCAAGTAAGGGGCCACAAGCCCCTTCCCTCGGCGCTCTTTCGCCTCCTCACGCTTCCCGGGGTCTGGTCGCAATTCACCCCTCAGACTCTCAGCAACCCTCTCGCCCTCCGCGGCCGCGCTGAGCCACGTGGCCCGAGACTTCGGAAAGTTTAAACCGCCACTACCAGGAAGGGGGTGGAGGTAAGGAGCGCGGAAATTACAAAGCCCTGCGCGTCGGATCTCACATCCCGGCCCGCCCACTGCACAGCTGGGGAAACTGAGGCCCAGAAGGACAGGGAGCCGCAGGGGGCAGAGGCTGCGGCTCCTTCACTACGCCTGGCCGCCTCCCGGGGCACCGCAGGGTCCGGCTCCGGGCGCCCGCCAGGCCGCTAAGGGAGGGGGCGCAGGTAGTCGCTCTCCAAATCTTGCACGCGGCCCTAGTACACGGCTCGCGCACGCTTACCTGGCCACTCTGCTCCTTCACTTCCCGCGCCGCGCGCACATAGCCCGCCTTTAACAGATGCTGGTAGATCAAGGGAAGCAACTCCCGGCGCTTCCTGGCCTCGGCCATGCCGGCGAAACCCGGCCCGTCCGCTCACCTGCACGCCCCCCTCAGTCCCCGCCCGCCACTTCCCTCGTGCCCTTAGACCTAGCGCGCCCCACTTCCGGCTCCTCTTTCGCCCCGCGCCGCGCGGTGCGCCGGGAAATGTAGTCTTATTTCCTGGAGTGGCCGGCCCCGCCCCGGCGGGTGAAAGGGGCGGAGGCTTGGAGGATAACGAGGCCTCCCATTGGCGGGGGAGGGCGTGGTCAGGCCTAGACACGCCTCCTGGCCTTGAGCTGAATGACTCCCTCTTAAATCCTCTAGACTTGCTCACTGCAGGCATTTGTGTTCCGTGTTCGCTGTGACGTCTGCGATAGGGTTTTACTCATCTCTGAACATCTTAATCTGCATCTCTCTCTGGTCCCGAACTTCCAGTTACCCACTCATTTATTCACTTCACAGAGTTTTTAGGACCCATGACTATTCGTCATTATTCATTCATTGCCTAAATCGTTTTTGAGCACCATACTTTAGGCTAGTGCTCACCTAGAATGGAGGGATAAAAAGATGGATAAGAAATGGTGGCTGCCCTCAAAGCTCAAGGGAGATTCGGTAACCAAGCAACTATGGTTCAATGCCTTGAGTGCATTGTCAGGGACAGGCACAGCCTATGGGAGCCAGGAGGAGGGGCACCTAACCCCAAAGAGACTTCTAATTTGAGGCTTAAAGTTGGAGCAGGAATTTCTAGGTGCAGAAGAGAGGACTGGCATTCCAGGCAGAGGGCACTGCCTGTATACAGACAGGAGAAACCATCCTGGTATAGGCTGGGAAGCCAAAACATAGAACCCGGTCTGTGCTGGTGGGCTGTAGTTGTGGGGAAGAGGGAATGAGCAAGGACACAGGAGGATGGAGAAGTAAACAGGCCTTACAGCACCCTCTCCTGCTGAGCAGAGCTTGCACTTTGTTCCAAAGGTGATAGATAATCTCTGACTGGTTTTATGTAGGAGGGTGACCCGGGTTTGTGTTTTTAAGAGATTTCTATCACCAAAATGTGGAGGATGGATTTGTGGAGAACAAAACTAGATGTGAAGCTGTTGTACTTGTTGAGGGGAGGTTGGCAGGGAGGGGATGAGGTAGGCTGGGGAATATTTGAATCAGCTCTTTTTAACTTCATGGACCCATTGAGAAACTGAAGATAGGATGAACCACCTAGACTTTGCTGTAGAAAATTTTGAATGTGTACAGACACATAACGTTTTCAAACCAATTTTAGGATGTGGATAAGCACATAACTGAACCTCCTAGAGTTAGGAACTACTGCTCCAGGAAGCAATAGGGATAGGACCAGGTGACTGAATACAGTGAGTGAGGAAGGAGGAGAGGACTCTGCATTCAGCCATTTAGTAAAATATTTATTGAGTACCTACTATTGGGATGAAGTAGTCTCCACCCCAACAGAGCTTGAAGTCTAAAGGGGGAGACACAGGCTAAACAGTCATATGAACACTTTGTTACAAACAGTGAGTCCATGCAGAGAGGAAAAGAATAGAGTTTTCTTATGGAACAGTAAACACTGTGCGGGAGTCACACAGCTGGGGCTCAAATTCTGGCTTTGCTTCTTGTTAACTAGGGAACCTTGCGTCAGTTACATAACTTCTCTGTGCCTCAGCTTCTTCATCTGTAAAATAGAGATAATTGTAAAATCTACCTCATAGGGTTGTCATGAGGAGTAACTGAGTTCTAAGCAGAAATGCTAAGAAGAGCTTCTAACAACAGAGTTGTGCCTAGATGTATGTTAGCCATTGTTGTGAAAGCATTTAACAGGAAGGAGGGATCTATCCTTTCTTGGGGGTTAGGGAAGGATTTGTTGAGAAAGTGATATTTGTGAGGAAATCTGAATGATGTGTAGGTGATGATGGGGGGGGGGATTCCTGGGCAGAGGGAAGAACCTGTGCAAAGGGCCTGAGGCAGAAGGTGCAGCTGAGACAAGAGGTGAGAAAAGGCCTTGGTAGGAAGGCTTAGGGGGAGAGCAGGGGGATTGGGGGAATGTGGAAGGTGGGCACAGGCAGATTCCACATTAAGGAATCTTTCTTTTCATCTTAAGCATGATAGGAAGCCACTGACAGTGTAGGCCCAAGAAGGACAGGATGATTTTTCATTTTAATGGGACCTGTGTGAATGCCTGTGGAGAGTGGAGTAGGGTGTGTGTGCGTCCATGCCAGAAGACAAGTTAGGGTTTGGAGGGCAGGCAGGCATCCAGGGAGAATATAATGGGGCAATGTTGGTAGCAGCGGAGGTGGAGAGTGGTGGAAGATTCCAGAGTTGTAAGGAAGTAAAATTGTCATAGAGATGTGTTGGAATGGAGGGCAAGGCAGAGGGAGCGTCAGGATGGACTGTGAGGTTTTGTGCAGCGTGGCAAGCAGCGACTCTCCCTGAGAAAGGGAAGCCTGCAGAGGACAGGGATGGGGGCAGAGTGGGGAGGGGAGGGTGACGAGGGGGCCATGAAAAGCTAAGTTCCACTTTAGGCAGGTGGAGCTTGAAATGCCTTTGAGACATGGAGTGCAGGTGTCGGGTAGGCACTTGGGGGCCTGGGCTTGGACCCACCCGAAGATGGGAAGTTGTCAGAAGAGAGATGATGATTGAGGCTGTGGCTGAGGGCCGGGTTGACCAGGAAGCAGAACGCAGAGGAAAGAAGGTGGCCCAGGAGGGAGCCCTGAGGCATACCCACAGGGTAGGACTGCGCAGAGGAGGATGTGCCTGGCAAGGCTGAGAAGGAGCAAACAGAGAGGTAAGAGAAAACCCAGGAGGGTGGGTGTAGGGAAGGAAGGCAAGGGATGAGTTTCAGGGAAGTGGGGCGAGCCCATGGGGAAGGCTCTAAGAAGTCAGATGGGATGAGGATGGGCCCATGAGCTTTGGTTTAATGATGGCTGTGGTGACTGTTGACGGTTTTAGGGAGCGCTTCTTCTGTGGAGTGATGGAGAAGGTCAGGTGGCAGTGGTCTGATGAGTGAAGGGGGCGATGAAGGAGGCAGTGGGTCTTTGGAGAAGTTTCTGTGCAAAGGCGAGGAGAGAGACAGTGTGACAGGGTCGGTGTGTGTGCTGGGGGAAGTGTGTTATAAGGTGCAAGAGAGCTGGGTTTGTTTAAAGGCAGATCAAGGGAGAGAGCTTAATTAGGGGTATAGGGAACAGGGGAGATAATCAGCAAGTGATGTGGATAAGGAGCATATGCAAGAGGGAATGGGATCAGGCATGTGGGTGGAGGGGTTGGTCTCAGAGAGGAGGAGGGATGACTTCTCTAGAACCAAAAGAAGGAACAAAGAGAGGATGGGTGCAGATGTAGATGTAGGTTTGTAGTGGGATGTTAAGGGAGATTTCATCTTGAGCTTCTATTTTTTCTGCAAAGTGGGAGGCAAGGTCCTCTGCTGAGAGCGAGGAAGAGGTGGTGAAGAGTCTGGAGGAAGGAGGAGAATGAGCATTCAGACTTGGGAAGCAAACTTGCCCACAAAATCCCCAATTGCCTGATAGTGTCACCAACGCAGTTGAGGATGGTGATGGTTAATTTACGCGCGTCCTGTCCCGTCCCACTAAGAGGTTTCCCCCTTCGTAGCTCACCTACCCAGGTGCAGGCCGGGGGCAAGTACTTAGTGGGGTTTATCTAGAGGCCTTGGGTTTTGCCAGATGGGTGAGGAAAAGAGGCACAGGGGTCTAAAGTGTTGGCAAGAGAGGTGCTCAGTCTCTGGGCTCTGGGATCTAGAATGGGCAGGGAGGGAAGTGGAGACAGATGGAGTCAATTTTCAGGGAGAGAGTGGAAGCCTCTGGGGAATGGGCCACCATGAGGTTGATAACCAGCAGCTGGAGCTGAAAGACAGTTGGCAAGTCCAGTTGATGGCAATGCCCAAGTTCCTGACTGGGGGGCTGGATGGGCCACTGACTGAGATAAGTCAATAGGCTGATGAGCATACAAATCTTTGGGTAAATCAAAGCTTGTTTTCACCCCTCCAAGAACTTATTTTCACCCCCATGGGGTATTATCACCCTCACTGAGAATGAATTTTCATAGGATATAAATTTCCCGAGGGCAGATTTGGGGTTGTCTTGTTGGCTGTGTTATCTCCAACACCAGTCAACAAATATTGGCAAATGCAAGGGTGATTATAGCCTGTCTCCTGAGGAAGAAAGGAGGGCAGAGCAGGCAGGGCACACGTTGTGAGTACAAGCCTGGAAGCAGAAATGTGGAAGCTTCTAGAAGTCAATGGAAAGGGTACTGGGTCATGAGTCTTTGGCTGACCTTGGGAAAAAGGAAGAACTGATATTAAATTAAAAAACAAAAACAAAACCAGGATGGTCTAATACCTTCTGTCTGGCAACAGGTTGTTTGTTTTTGTTTTGTTCCTAATAGAATTCATTTTAAGCACTTATACTTTGTCCTTGGCTCCTGGGAGGCTGCCTCTTATGTGGACAATTTTTTTTATTTCCTTGATTTTCTAAGTCATACCCTTCACTGAATTGCCTCAGGCCCCAAGCACAAAATTAAAACATTAAACTGATAAAATATAACATGGCAGCAATTAAGACAGCAGCAAACAAAACAGTGCATTAAAAAAAAAAATTAGCCTCAGAGCATTTTTTTTTTACCAGTTAGAAAAAGATGTCTTTGTTAGTGGTAGAAGCCAGAAGCTTCCAGACCACCCGATTGCGAGTGCCTCTCGGGTAAGCAGCACGCCTTAGTCATCTTGAATTCTCAAGCAGGGCACAGTGAGGGCACTCAGGAAATGAGTGAAGGAGGGACTGTCAGCAGAGGGGAAAGAAGCTAAGCAGGTGGGACACTATACCCTTCTTTTCCCAGCAGAATGGCTCCTGCTCTGAGTTGGAAGGTAGCATGATATAGGGGAGAGGTTACTGAGCCAGGAGTCAGGAAACTGCCTTTTTGGCCAGGCTCTGCTGTGTGACCTTGGGCCAGTCTCTTGACCTCTCTGATCCTCAACATTTCTACTGGTTGGAGAAGTTGGACAAAACCCCTTCTGGCATTGGAACTCTCAAGAGAGGGGCCCATCTGGGAAGGCTGCTTTTGTCCCCAGAACCCAAAGATGGCCCCTTCATCTACT